TGGCAGTATTTTCAACAGGGATAATTTTGGCAAATTATTTCTATTTTATGGAATAATCACTTGCGCTAGATAAAAAAGAACCCAGATTATTTGCGGTGTATAGCAATGTTATGTTGCTTTTGATTATTAAGAATACATTGTGTCATGTCCAATATAACATATAATTTGATAGTTTACATTGCGGAAGCTACTTTTCAGTTAAACATGAAGATGTTACCTAATTGATCATAATATCTGAAATAATTTCTTATATTTTCCTGTATGTTCAATATTATCCCTAATTTTTTTTCGCAAAAAAATGTAGAAATCTATTAACTTGAATTCATTTTGGCTAGCTACGCTCTAAGTTAACTGTGGTTCTGCATGTTCTGGGTAATGATTGCTTTTTTCGTGGTTTTCTTTTCAAACTTTCACTCTACACATTAGCTTTACAAGGGGCGAGGACCTCAGGTGCGCCTTTGAAAATTGTGCATTATTTCAGGCAAAATGCTTCACCTGCAGAGAACCATCGACATTTTGAAACTAGCTTGATAGGTTTTCCACATGAAAGAATAAAAAGTCCCTGGTGGTTTTCAAATTCATAGCAGTTCAGTTCAAGTGATTTGAATTCAGTAAACATAATCAGCTCGGCCTCGGTCGGACACACCTGTCTGATTTCTTTTTTCAAAAAAAATTGTTAACGTCAGCTGTACAAATAAGCAGTTTTTTTTATTAACTTCTGGTGTGAAGTTTTAAGATTATAAATATTTGAATTAATTATAAAGAGAATAACATTTAAATTTCTTATTTGGGTATGACTAACAGAGAAATTTTCAATGTAAACAGGGGGTAATCCTCCGTGAAGTCATTTTCTGAAAACTTTTGCTTAAGTTTTCAGGCAATTCATTTAACAAATAAAACATGACCTTGAGGGCAATATGCAAGTTTACGGACTGGTTGGTCAGACTGAGGAAGGTATATGGCCCGAAGCGCAGCTGAGGGACATAAACCTTCCTCAGTCTGACCAACCAGTCCGTAAACTTGCATTTTGCCCGAAAGGCCATGTTTTATTTGTTATATTATACCGAAATCTAAATCCTATCACCCCCTGGTTGTTTGCAGTCATTTTTTAGTATAATTTGCTTTTAAATAATAATTTAACTTGTTCAGTGTGTGAAATATCTCAAACCCTTGTTGGATTTTGTTTTATTATTTTTATGCGATGCAGGAAACAAGCCATCGTCGGATACCCACGGCCATAAACATGCAAGTTATGTGACATGTTTATCAATCGTGGGTATCCGACGATGCAAAGTAATGCTTCTTTAATATTCCATCTTTGTTAATCAAATTAAATTTTTAATTTTTTACTAGGCAAAAAAACCCGGACTTTAAAGAATTTCACAAACTGTATAAATAAGATTTATAATTAAGTTAAAGACAAATCATGAGTTTTGATAAACATGTCTCTGATAAAATGGCGAATCGCCTAGCCATTTTGACAGTTATCTGTTTGTGTCGTCGTGAAATTCGCACGTCGTAAAAGTTACGATTAAACGGTCTTCATAAGAATTATGGACCGCCCCCGGTCTGTATGCGGTTTATGGACCGGGTGACGTCATATTAAATATAGAAGGGCGTATGCAAATGAGGTATAATATTATCAAATAAAAATCACACTTTAGTATGAAGGTATGTTAAGATGTCATGTCTCTAGTCCAGTCTAAATTTTCTGTACTTCTTCAATACTGTTGTAAGATCATGTCTGCCTCTATCTGTATCAAATTTATCGGTGCACAGCGTAAAAATACTTTTGCAAAACGGACACCTTCTTTACAAAATAATTTGTAGTTGTATCATATATGTAACTCGATTTTGAAAATTTAAAGTTTTTGATGGAAAAGAATGATAATAATTGCAAAAATATATTGTAGCTTAACCATTTATAATATGATTTTAAAAATTTAATGTTCAGTTTCAAATAATCAATCTCATCTGTCCTCACCGATTATTAAGAAAATGAATACAATAAAATCGGCACGTAAAAGACATAAGTAATAAACTAATAACGGAATTGACTGAAATTATTGCTAATTACAAGTAACAAAGGTAGCTAAGGCATAGCTCTCTCCCGATAGCGAGAGACCTTTTCAAAATTTGTAATTCTTTCTCTTTTTTTTTAAAAAAAAAGGTCATTCCTGATTAATACAGGGTCCAGGAGAGGTTACACGGGAATATTGAATTTTGTATCAAAAATAGTAATCACTCCCATTTCGAACTCATGGGAACAAGTTTATAAGCATGCTAATAGAATAGAGAAAAACAGAATCCCTAAAGAAGGTCCAACACAACACAATTGAAAATGTTGCAGGCTCGGTTTGATTGAGCCTGTTCATGGACGGTACTGGAAAGTGCAAGTTACCGTCCACGCCCCCTAGCACCGGCTTAAGCAGAATTCAACATTTAACACGAAAATGGTGAAATTTTGAATTTAGAAACATCCGCAGATGTGTTCATACGGCGGTTACCATGGAACCTTCAATGTGACACAGTAGTGCCATTCCATGAAAAGCGGCGTATGGTCCCCAAGTAAAAGAATGCTTTTGCCCTAAACGAGAAAACAATGGGCGGAACTAAATAAAATAGAATTTTGAAAGGGGATCTGAGGTTAAGGCAACACTAGAAAACGTTGTCATATGGTTGTGCGATCACGTGTTTCAATGTACCGGTATATTGCATTAAATATTTGATACAGCTTTTCGGAATTTGTAGATGCTTATGATAGGTAATAAAATGCGACCGAAAAAACGTAGCCTTAATAGAATTGTATTACATTTCCATTTTTATGAAACCAATGAGTGACCTCTGCATTTGACTTAAGTCGTAAACAAGAAATGTGGTTGGACGTTATTAGCATACCTAGCACATAATTTAAATAGTTTACCAATATGCAGTCTGCAATGAAAATACAACTGCGTCGTATCATATTTTAATTTCAACTGCGTCGTATCATTTCGTAAAAATCATTAATTTCTTGAAAAATAAACATCTCTTTTTAATGAAAGTTTAGTAAATGATCCAAAATTATGTTTGGAAGTTTATGGTGAACTCTGAAAACAAGTATATAATTGATTTGAAGGAAAAAACGATAGATAAAGCAATATGAACTGCGTCGTATCCATACATTTTTATAAAAATTCTCCCCCGCTTCGAGTTGCAAGTTCGCTATAACTTTTGTTTTACAAAATAGTTGTGCAAGCAACATATACCGAACGAAGCGGAAAATAGTGTAGCGTTTTAATACATATATCTGGTTTTCAGTCATTTCCAACAAAAAGCGTTATTAACAAAAACATACATTTTCGCTCCAAGATGGCGGCGTTTGTTTACATTTTGTAGGATACGACGCAGTTTTGATTCCCAGCCCTGATCTCTCTTCACACTTCAGTAATCACAACATTCTCTTCCACCTTCAACATGGCTTTAGAGAAAAACGCTCATGTGAAACACAGCTTATTGAACTAACAGACTCCCTTGTCAACAACATCTCAGCAGGCAAAAAAACAGATCTTATTCTCCTTGACTTTAGCAAAGCCTTTGATAAAGTAAATCATCGTAAACTTCTCCTTACCCTTCAAGAAAACGGTGTCTCCACACAAATTCTCAATTGGACATGTTCCTCCTTCCTGATAGATCGGAGCCAAACTGTTGTACATGAAGATGAACACTCTACAGAAGTCCCTGTAAATTCTGGCGTCCCCCAAGGCTCCATCCTTGGCCCACTCTGCTTTCTGATCTACATGAATGAACTTTCATCTTCTGTCTCCAAGTCTCAGATTTGCCTCTTTGCTGATGACACTGTGGTTTACATTACTATAAACTTGTCCTAAGACTCACAATTCCTTCAGGAGGATCTCAAAAAGATGCAAATCTGGGAAAGGGAGTGGGACATGGAATTCAACCCCTCAAAATATCAAGTCCTTCACATCACTAAAAATAAAAAAGTCATCAACAACAAGTACTTCCTTCATGGCCAAGCTTTAACATCATTTCCTAGCTCAAAATACCTTGGCCTTGACTTGTCCACAGACATAAACTACAACACACATATCTTAAGAATTATATATTATGCAAATAAAACCCTAGGATTCATAAAACGAAATATTAATACAAAAAATGAAAAAGTAAAACAACTTAGCTTATAAATCCCTAGCAAGACCCCAGCTAGGATATGCATCAACTGTTTAGAGCCTCTACACACAATCAAACATCCAAAAATTAGAGATGGTCCAAAGATGAGCGATACACTGGGTAAAACAGGATTACTCCCCAGTCATCAGTTACAGAAAGATCTTGGCTGGCGTTCTCTCGAGCATCTCAGACTAGATTTAGACTTATTACGTTTTTTTTTAAATTTACCATAATCTAGTAGCCATAAGCCTTCCCACCTACATTAAAACTAAATCTAGGCTTACTAGACATATGCATCCCCTCTCTTTCCTTTAGGAAAATACAGGTTACATCAGACTACCATAAGTTCTCCTTCTTTCCCCAATGTATCACTAAGCGCTGAAAATTGTTTCCTTGAACGACTTTCAGCGTTAATCATTGTTGATGTTATCATTAAAAAGAGGTGAACGGCTGATGACGTTACTATAATTTTGATGATAGTCAAACTTAAATCCCCTATAACTTTAACTGAAAAGCATTTTTAAAGGTATGATTTGGAACTTTTAATGACGAAATGTTTACGTTCACGAATCATATGATAAAAGGATTTAAAAAATGAAAGTGAGTATTCATAATAGGACACAAAGTTACCTAGTATGAGGTCCCATAGAATAATCAATAATGAGATTGTAACAGTTTTATTCCCCTTTGTTGAAAATGACCATAGAAAATTATGACTAAAGTGCAAGTTCACTTCATAATGAAGCAAAGTTATCAGTATTTTTTACAGCACACTTCCGTCCCATAGCTTATGTCCTATCATATCTGTCTTATTACTTTCACCTATTCAGGCATGGAAGCTGAGGCAGCAGATCAGGGCTCGGTTGCTGTGAAGCCGGAAAAAAGTTCTTCACAAAAACCTGGGAAATCACAAGGAAAATCTCAAGAGTCGAGCAAGAAAAAAGAAAATCAGGCTAGTGCACAGAAGTCTGAAAAGAATAAAGAAGAATCAGTTGGAAAAGCATCAAAACAACAATCAACACCCAAAGGTAAGTCATCAGCTTTCTCCAATCATTGCTTTGTGGATTGAATCCCTTCTTATTTCTCTATGATGAATCCTGCATTGAATTTCAGTCAAGCCTCGAGAGCGCGTAACCAGGGTTAAGAGTTCTTCAGTTTTAAGCGAATGTAAATAAAAGAGTAAAATTTATATTTTTATGTAATTGAAAACAATATAAAGCAATTTCCTACTAGGAGTGCACACATGTACTATGTAGTGCATGTATATTGAATTTTTAACAAAACAAAAGGCCTCAATTTGGGAACTTTATCATTATGAATGGCCCATGTATTTATGTATGAAATGTTTAAAAGGAAAATATATTATTCAATAGATACTATTCTTTTTATGCCCCCGAGCATATAGTGATTGAACCGTCTGTTCGTCTGTCCGTACGAGGTTAACCTAGAACGGCAAGTTGGATTTTTCTTAAGTTCTACCTGTACCAATGGCTTCTAAGTTTACACACTTACTAATCGATACAAAGTACATGATCTGGGCAAGTTACATAACTCTGGCTTTCATATTTACCAAGTTATGGCCCTTTTCAGCACTTAGAAAATGAATAATGGTTAACCTAAAACGGCAAGTTGGAAATATCTTAAGTTCTATCTATACTAATGGCTTTATAATTTCCACACTTACTTATCAATACAAAGTACATGATATTGCCAAGTTATATAACTGTGTCATCCATATTTCCCAGTTATTTAACTTTGAAAATTGTCTGGTTAACCTATTTCGGCAAGTTGGATTTATCTTAAATTTCTCCTAATTGCTTAATTTCTTTAATGATATCTTTCATATTTAGTAGGTGGATACCTTTGATGGTCCTCTAATTTTTTGTGGAGTAAGCGGTCTCTAGGGTCAAGGTCAAGGTCACTGGTTTAAAAAATAAATATAAACATTTTTGCTCATACAGCCTTTATATTTTAGTTGATGTTTTAGTTTAATACAAACATGGGAGGTCCTCCTTCTTTGGGTGTAGTAAGGGGTCATTTGGGTCAAGGTCAATGTTACCAATGTCAAGGTCACCAATGTTAAAATTGATTTTTACATTTTTACAGATGTATTGACCTTATTCTATAGACAGATGTTATTTATAATTGATAGAAACATAAACTTTGATGGAGTTAGTGGTCAGTTGGGTCAAGGTCACCAGTTCTAAAAATAGATTTTTACACATTTGCTCATACAGCCTTTATTAAGTGACAAATATATTTTATATTTGGTAGGAAGATATATATTTTATATTTGGTAGGAAGATAACTTGCATGGTCATCATTATACCCCCACAAACGAAGTTTAGGGGGGTATATAGGAGTCAGCTTGTCGGTCGGTCGGTCCACATCATGGTTTCCGGACGATAACTAGAGTTTGGAATGAGGTATTGTAATCAAACTTGGTATATAGCAACCTTATGTGGAAACTCTGGTTGGTATTGCATTTGGACCCCCTGGGGTCAAGGTCACTGTTACTAAAAATAGAAAAATGGTTTCCGGACAATAACTAGAGTTAGGAATGAGATATTGATATCAAACTTAACATATAGCAAGCTTATATGAAGACCTGGGTTGGTATTGCATTTGGGCCCCCTTGGGTCAAGGTCAAGGTCACCGTTACTAAAAATAGAAAAAATGGTTTCCGGACAATAACTTGAATTAGGAATGAGATACTGTAATCAAACTTGGTGTATAGCAAGCTTATATGAAGACCTGGGTTGGTAATGCATTTGGACCCCCTGGGGTCAAGGTCAAGGTCACTGTTACTAAAAATAGAAAAATGGTTTCCAGACAATAACTAAAGTTAGGAATGAGATATTGTTATCAAACTTGGCGTATATAAGCAAACTTCTATGAAGACCCTGGTTGGTATTGCATTTGGGCCCCCTGGGGTCAAGGTCAAGGTCACCGTTACGAAAAATAGAAAAATGGTTTCCAGACAATAACTTGACTTAGGAATGAGATACTGTAATCAAACTTTGTGTATAGCAAGCTAATATGAAGACCTGGGTTGGTATTGCATTTGGACCCCCTGGGTCAAGGTCAAGGTCACCATTAAGAAAAATAGAAAAATGGTTTTCGGACAATAACTAGAGTTAGGAATGAGATATTGTTATCAAACTTGGCGTATATAAGCAAACTTCTATGAAGACCCTGGTTGGTATTGCATTTGGGCCCCCTGGGGTCAAGGTCAAGGTCACCGTTACGAAAAATAGAAAAATGGTTTCCAGACAGTAACTTGACTTAGGAATGAGATACTGTAATCAAACTTTGTGTATAGCAAGCTAATATGAAGACCTGGGTTGGTATTGCATTTGGACCCCCTGGGGTCAAGGTCACCATTAAGAAAAATAGAAAAATGGTTTCCGGACAATAACTAGAGTTAGGAATGAGATATTGTTATCAAACTTGGTGTATAGCAAGCTTATATGAAGACCTTGGTTGGTATTGCATTTGGGCCCCCTTGGGTCAATGTCAAGGTCACCGTTAAGAAAAATAGACAAATGGTTTTCGGACAATAACTAGAGTTTGGAATGAGATATTGTAATCTAATTTGGTGTATAGGAAGCTGATATGAAGACCTGGGTTGGTATTGCATTTGGACCCCCTAGGGTCAAGGTCACTGTTACAGTGTTACTAAAAATAGAAAAATGGTTTCTGGACAATAACTAGAGTTAGGAATGAGATATTGTAATCAAACTTGGTGTATAGCAAGCTTATTTCGAGACCCAAGTTGCGATTACAATTAATTGAAATATTTCTGTGTACACAGTTGATAGTTTGTGTTCAAATTTTTCTTCAGACTACTTATTTTTCAAAAAGTTCAAGTTGCGGGTGGGGGTATTAATCACCTTCAGTGATAGGTCTAGTTTTGATTGGGGTAGGGATCAGTGGCTCAAGGTCACTTGTGCTAAAAATAGATTTTTACACTTTTGCCCATACAGCTTTTATTTATTGACAGATGTATTTCGTATTTGGTAGGAAGATAACTTGCATGGTATTCTTCCTTTGGATGGAGTAAGGGGTCAGTTGGGTCAAGGTCACCAGTGCTAAAAATAGATTTTTACACTTTTGCCCATACAGCTTTTATTTATTGACAGATGTATTTCATATTTGGTAGGAAGATAACTTACATGGTATTCTTCTTTTGGATAGAGTTAGGGGTCAGTTTGGTTAAGGTCACCTGAGTGCTAAAAATAGATTTTTACACTTTTGCCCATACAGCCTTTATTTAATGACAGATGTATTTCATATTCTGTAGGAAGATAACATGCATTAAGTTGAATATTTTTCATCTTCACAAGTCAGAGCAATGACTTGGCAACTTATATTTTTCACAATTACAAAATGCTATGACTTTGTCATTAGCTATATTACTTGTGTTTTACAATTTTTTGGCAATTTTTCTGTCCTTAACTGAGTGAATGGGTAAACATTTTTTGAAATATTGCTACTGACAAGAATCTGAGCCGGGGGCATTTGTGTTTAACAAACACGTTCTTGTTTTTAAATGTGATGTTTTTAAATGTATATGTTTTATTGTTTAAAAGGAGCTAAGCAGGGTATTGAATCTAAGCAAGGTAATGAATCAAAGGAAGGAAGTGTGGCTAGCAGTGGTGATGGCAGTCAACAACTTAGTAAAGCTCAACTTAAAGCTATGAGAAGAGAAAAACAGGTACTGTATTCTCCTTATTTAAGTCCCTGGAGGTCCTGCAAAACACCAGGCTGCTTTTATTTCAGATATTTTCTGTACTTGAAACTATTGTGGTATGTTGTGCAGTACAAAGCAAGAACTATAGGGTAGATAGATAAAAAGTAATTTTGCATTGATAGGGTGTGATAGTCTGTTACAAATTGTTTAATTTTCAAGGCCAATTGTGCTGACCTTTGGTAAAATGAGTGCCCTGGGTTATATTACCATATACCCTTACAATTGGCCACTTGGAATTATGTTTATATATTGCGAAAAGTTCTATATGTATGAGTACTAGAGGTTTCATTCTATATTGAACTATCTGTACTGGTGGTAGTTTTTATAGTTCACTGAATATCAACTAGATGATGACCATAAGCCACTCTGAATATTCCGGAGCACAGTTCAACCACTGCCTCTACCTATAGTAATTAAAGTTTTACCTTTTAAGGAAGCACAAAGGGCAGCAAAGAATAAAGCCAAAGATGAGAAGACCACAGCTGCTGCCCAGAAGAAAGAGCAAGCTGTGCGTGTACCAGACAATGTTAAGGCAGATGTTCCAGAAACACAGAAACGTGTTGCAAAAAAGCTTGAGAAACAACAAATTCCAAAAAGAACGTCGGCACAGAGGAAAGTCCGCCTGTTTAATCATCTACAGCAGTATGAAAGGGAAGTTTCTCTTACACAGTCACTACAGTAGGTTTTTTTTTAAATTTTTCATGTGTTTAAACTGAATATATTGAAACTAATGTTAAACACATGATACTCTTAAAATAAAAATAATTAAGTATCTAACTTTTATGTTAAGTTAAGACTCCGATTTATTTGATTAGTTTATATTAGATACCTACATTGTATATTATTTGTTGAAAACATTTTTGACTGGTGACATAAATGGTTGTTTGTATATTTAACCTACGTCATGAAGGTTATATTACAAACAGCCCTTTATATACAGCCAAGAATCAGAAATTAAATTAAATGAAAATTCATCATACAGGAAACTTCCTTTATTTGAGAAAAAAAGTATTTTGATTTATAAATCAACATGTATATAGTTTATATAGATGTCTTGATTACCTCAATGAAAATTGACAATACAAACGTGCAGTATCTTCAACATATATCTTTAAACTTTTGCTAGTATTTAATATACAGACCTTTGTTTAAACTAAAGACAATCTCTTTGACAATTTTTTGTAAAACAAGTCTTGCATTGCAAAATTGCATGATTAACTAAAAATGTTATGAATCCAGTTCATATACATGTATGTGATTCTGTAAAACTGAGGCTAGACAAAGATGTATTGTAGTAAAAGTTATTTTCTTTTGACAGATTTTCAAGTGGGGGAATTCATCCAGCAATTATACGTTTAGGTCTACAGTATGCTGAGGGAGTTATCAGTGGATCAAATGCAAGATGTATAGCTCTCTTAGCAGCTCTCAAAATGGTTAGTTCCTCTGTCTTTAACACTTAAGCCAGCGCCTTTTCCAGCTATTTTGAGGAATATTCTGCATAAATTTGGAAAAATTATTTGACATCTTTGGAAATTTGAAAAGTTGAAAATCTACCATATTCATGACTTTTTAGATTTTTAACATGTTTATGTGCATATAATCTGTCACTTCTCTCTAAAAAAAGTAAACAATTAGTTATTCTCAAAACTGAGGCTGCTGTTTGGAATTTGTTTTTGGAGTTGTGAAGAGGCTATTTTGGTGTGGTGGTGGTGGTGTTGGTAGTTTTCATTCCGGATCACGACAGTAAGCCACATTGAATTCACCAGTTCAACCACCGCATTGTTCCTAGGCAGGCTGTCAAGCAGTTTACCAGTACTAGTTGCCTTCACTTTGGCAAGGAACTGAAATTTCTGTACATGCCAGAGCAGAGGTACAGTGTAAATTATCATAGAAAGGATTTCATGATCAATCACAACGAAAGTGACCTTCGCCGTACGGAAACCTAGGTCACCCGATTCACAGTCCAACACTCTACCTATTGAGCTAACTGGAAGGCTAGGCTAATTTGGTTTGGGAATTGGGCCTTATATATGGCTTCTGATGATAGGGTGAAAATGTTCTGTAACCTGCTTGATCCAGGTAGTAATGAGCCTTTGTAACCAGTATAGAGCCCCTCAAGTCTATTTGTAAAATACTTGATAAATTACAAGTTTCTGATAATTTTTCTTTGCTATCAAGATTATTTACTTAACCCCAGGCCAATGGGTTTAAACCCAATGGCTGCTTCATAATTATGTAACCAGTACTTGTTTGTTCCAGGAAGCCGACTTTAGAGTTGTTCCAATAAGATGAAAACTTTCTTCAAATAAATCTTGTTTTAACTGAACCTATGATGTTTTGTTTCGTTTTCTTAGGTTATAAATGACTATAGTACACCTCCAAAAGAAGAGCTGTGTAGAGATCTGGGAACTAAAATCAAACCATACATAAGGTACGCCCTTTATCATTATACTTATTATCTTATACTCTTTATTGTTATTTAGTCTTTATCATTATATGGAGGGGTATCTTTGGCCAAGTGGTAAAGTGGTGTTGACTTCAAACCATTAGCTTCTCACTGCTGTGGGTTTTAATCCAGCAAGGGACTTTTAGATTCTTTCATGTGAGTGGTTCTACTCAGGTGCCTGCTTGTGCATGGAATGATGCTTGGAGGGGAACCTGACAACTACCTCCATCAGTAAAAGCTTGAAAGTTGCAATATTATGATCTTTATAGTGTTGGTACGATATGAAACCCAACCAACCATTGAAAATACAATGTTATCTGTGAAATATAATTTATAATTTATATCACATACTTTATATAACCTTCTTTAACAAAAGTTTACATGTAATTTTTCACATATTGAAAATAATAATGAAAGGAAAAGGCATGACGTCCATGGCTTTGAGTAGGAAAAATGAATTTGATTCTCTTTTATTTTGCATAGATTAAGCTTAATAAGAAAACTAAATTGCCATTTCTTAAATTTGGCCTAAAATAAGCTTAAGAAACTCATTTCACATTTCTTAAATTTGGTTAATGATAATTGTAGTTAACATTTTGTCTATCACCTGCAATGAGATTTAATATTCATTTTATTATACAAATATAATCAATATTTAAGATAAACATCTCAAACATTACATATACAGTGTATATATATAGAGGACATTGAATGAGTGTAAGTTTAATACTAAATTTATTGAACAAGTTGAATAAAGTATTATGCAAGCCTCTGGCAAGCATAATATTATTTTATTGAAGGAGTTCAATAAATGTAGTATTAAACTTACACAAATTTAATATTCTTTATTTCACATACCAAAAACAAAGATTGTTTAAAGTAAAAGAGAACCATTTTTCATTGACTAACATTTAGTGTGTCTTGACGTTATGTTTATATAATGCAAAAGACGTAGTGGTGCAAATACCATATTTACGGAGTCGCAAAATCGGCACGGGTACATGATAAATATATGTAAACACTAAACATCAGTAGCCTATGCACATGTAAGGGACCATTTGGTAATATCATCAGGTCAATAAGTGATGTTGTTATGTGACATATAGATTGATGTTGTTATGTGACATATGGATTGATGTTGTTATGTGACATATGGATTAATGTTATGTGACATATGGATAAATGTTGTGTGACATATGAATTAATGTTATGTGACATGGATTAATGTTATGTGACATATGAATAAATGTTATGTGACATATGAATTAATGTTATGTGACATAAGAATTAATGTTATGTTACATATGAATTAATGTTATGTGACATATGAATTAATGTTATGTGACATGGATTAATGTTATGTGACATGGATTAATGTTATGTGACATATGAATTAATGTTATGTGACATATGAATTAATGTTATGTGACATATGAATAAATGTTATGTGACATATGAATACATGTTATGTGACATATGAATTAATGTTATGTGACATATGGATTAATGTTATGTGACATATGGATTAATGTTATGTGACATATGGATTAATGTTATGTGACATATGAATTAATGTTATGTGACATATGGATTAATGTTATGTGACATATGAATTAATGTTATGTGACATATGAATTAATGTTATGTGACATATGGATCAATGTTATGTGACATATGGATCAATGTTATGTGACATATGGATTATTGTTATGTGACATATGGATTGATATTTCAGTTTCCTTAACCAGTGTCGCCCACTGTCTGTGAGTATGGGAAATGCTATCAAGTATGTAAAGTGGCATATAGCACACACATCTGGTACTCTGACTGATAGAGAGGTAAATTTATATGAATACTCTTAAAGGAGCTCCACTGAGGTCAAAAATCCTGAAAACATAAAATTTAAAAATTCTTATATAGATCAAGTGAAGCTTACAAAATTGAAAATTATGCAAAAGGAAGTAAAGAAATACATGTATGTACAGAATTAAATGAAAATCAGTTTTTTTTTATGTGTGTAATTCTTGACCCAATTTGAGTGAAAAGCTTTGTAATGTTTTCGTAACAGTTTTCTTAGCAACTAATTATCACAGCCTCTTGATGTTTGGTATACAGCATTTACACTTGGTCCCATACCGTAATATTCAATTTCAGGTCTGTCGCTATTCCACTTCCTGTTTACCAACTTAGTTAAATTTCCGACAAATTTTTGACATTAATGGTGATATTAATGTTTAATGGTAAACATCACAGCATCATGATATTTGGTATACAAATGTAACCTGGCCATTTCTGGCTTTGACCCATTTTTGGGTCATTTTGTACAATAAAATTGAGGATTCTGAAAAATGGACTGAAAGAATGATCTGACAATTTGCACATAAGTTATTTGTCCACTCAGACCTACATCAAGGGAAACACAAACCTCAGCAAAAATATTTTCTGTCATGTCAAAAAACCTGAGAGAGGTCCCTTTAATGTTTGAATGTTATGCTTTGACCCCCCTGATAAATAAGAAATAAGGTTTGTTTCATAACATTACTTATCAAACCTTTAAAAATTTAAAATGCATTGAATTTTAGAAAGGTACAATTCTGTTTTTTTAGAAAGTTGTATTTTGAATTAATATATTCCTTTTGGAATACCTTCTTTATGTTACTAATATGCCTGACAAAATATCACTATAGAGGTGCTTGCTTCACAATTGGGCTTCAACAAAGGAGCCGCGTCATGACAAAACCAACGTAATGCGTTTGCAACCAGCTGGGATCCAAACCAGCCTGCGCAGTCTGATCAGGATTCATGCTGTTCGCTATCAGTTTCTCTACTTGTAATAGAGTTGGTTAGCCAACATCATGGATCCTGATCAGACTGCGCGGATGTGCAGGCTGGTCTGGATCCATGTTGGTCGCAAATGCACTATGTTGGTTTTGTCGTGACGAGGCTCAAATATTTTTGACCTAATTAGTATCATATTTTGTTGTTGTTTTACAGGCTAAGCAGCAGCTGTATGATGTGATAGATGATTTTCTAAGGGAGAGAATCATACTGGCAGCCCAAGCCATTTCTACAGAAGCTTCGTCTAAAATATCTGACGGGGATGTCATTCTAGTCTATTCATGGTTTGTTGAAGATTATACTGTTTAATTGGTGTATTGTTTCAGGATTTGTGTCAGTTATAACGGTTTTTCCTTAACCCTGTACCTACACTGTACCTACTGAAACTGGTAGTGATTAGCCATTGCCACCAATGGAGAATGAACCTCCATAGAGTCTGACCAGGCTTTATACTTCTAGCAGCTCAATTTTTGTATTTTGTTAATGAAACCCCCTTAAAATTCAAATGGACCACCACCCAAATTCAAAGCGGGCAAGTCCATTTCAGCAGTTCAGTGGGTTAGGGGAAAAAAATGAATGAAAAGTTAAACCTGGAACTGAAATACTGTAACATTGCAAATAAATGCTAGATCTAATATGTGTATAAATAAGGTGTCAAATGGACCACCACCCAAATTCAAAGCGGGCAAGTCCATTTCAGCAGTTCAGTGGGTTAGGGGGAAAAAATGAATGAAAAGTTAAACCTGGAACTGAAATACTGTAACGTTGCAAATAAATGCTAGATCTAATATGTGTACAAATACTTCTTTTCTTGCTTGTCTTTAGTAACTCATAATAATTAATGTTTGGCCTCATTTTTCACAACCAGTTTATTTCATATAATTTCCATGTTATTTCTTTCAGTTCATCATTAGTAAGAAGAATACTATGTGATGCGCATAAACAAGGGAAACAATTCAGGGTGATAGTTGCTGACAGTCGACCTAAAATGGAGGGTAATTCATGAAAAATGTTGTTATTTCATGCTTTACAATTAACTTCGTTAGATAAATAAAGCTATCCTTTATATATTAAATGTATGCATGCATGTATAAGACATTGTAGTTAAGTCATTTAAAGTGTGGATTAATACACAATATTCTCAAAGGACTATTTTACTTATAGTATAGGTTATCAGAACAATTCAAGTTACTTGATATGGTCACAGTGTTTTCAACAATTCAGGGTACAGACAACATTCAATGATAAAAATCAAGCATTTTTTAGCTTGACTATTCAAGCAATAGAGAGGGCTGTTGTACTTGCCCCAGTGTTGCAATCACTGTCTCATTTTGTTAGTTTTGGTGTGCAAATTAGTATATTCAAAACTACTAAATAGGTTGTAACTTCACACACTTGTTATCTGTGATTATCTGTCATGTAGGGCACAAGTCCCATATCTTTTTACAGAGTTATGTCCCTTTTCTTAAGGGTAAAATAAGTTTCTGTTTATTGACATGTTATGAGTCATTTCTGTAGATAGGAAGCATTAAGGCTAAGTTAAATCTCTTAATTTGTACAGTTGACAACAGTTTTACTCAACAGATCATTTTTTTAGGTTTTCATAAAAGTTTATACAAACTTGGAAGCATGCCAGCTGCTTCAATGTAATTAATATAATTTTGTTTCAGGTAAAGAATGTTTGCGAAGATTGGTGAAAGAAGGAATTAAATGTTCATATGTTCTTATAAATGCTGTCTCTTATGTCATGTCTGAGGTAAGGACTTACTTTAACACGTACCATGCTTGAATGAAAAGTGATTAACCTTTTCCACACCAGTATAGAATCAGACCAGCTTGCTTGTCCGTGTAGTCTGACCAGGCTTTTTACTGTAGGAAGCTCAGTTTTTGTATTTTGATATTGAAATCCCTTAAACATTGAATGGAATTTTTCAAATTAACAACAAGTCAGATCTATTACACAAATTTAGCAGGCTAAGTGTTAATATCTGAATCACTAATTGTATGTTGCTGTCATGTCTGATTATTAATCGAAATTTTTAACAGAAAAAGTGGAGCTATTGTCATAAACCTCTCGTTGACTTTGGTTACTTTTTTCATTAGAATTTTCTCAGAAATTATCTGATGTCTTCAAAGTTTGTATACTTGTTCACTGTCATCATGTGAAAATGGTGAATAATTCTAACATTGCATTTTTATGCTCCCCAAAAAATTTCGGGGGAGCATATAGTCGGCGCCTTGTCCGTCTGTCCGTCTGTCTGTCCGTCCGTTTTCTTGTCCGGAGCATAACTTGAAAACCCTTGGAGATAATTTGTTTAAACTTGTACAGTGGTAGAGAGCATTGAGGGGGAGTGCAGTGTCAAAGAACCATAACTCTATTTTGCCCGGTTTTTGAATTATCTCCCCTTAAAGAAAAATCTTGTCCGGGGCATAACTCTAAAACTATAAGAGATATCAACATGAAACTTTGTAGGTGAATAGATCTCAATGGGTAGATGTACAGTGAATAAGAAGAATAACTCTTTTTGTCCTAATTTTGGAGTTATTGCCCTTTGTTAATTTCAACACTTTGAACTTTGTCTGGAACATAACTCTAAAACTATAAGAAATATCAAGATGAAACATTGTAGGTTGATAGATCTCATTGAGTAGAAGTGCAGTGCAAAAGAACCATAACTCTGTTAAGCCTCATTTTTTAATTATCTCCCCTTATAGAAAAATCTTGTCCGGGGCATAACTCTAAAACTATAAGAGATATCCACATGAAACTTTGTAGGTGCATAGATCTCAATGGGTAGATGTGCAGTGCATAAGAACAATAACTTTTTGTCCTAATTTTGGAGTTATTGCCTTTTGTTAATTTTAACACTGAACTTGTCCGGAACATAACTCTAAAATTATAAGAGATATCAAGATGAAACATTGTAGGTAGATAGATCTCATTGAGTAGAAGTGCAGTTAAAAAAAACCATAACTCTGTTAAACCTCATTTTTGAATTATCTCCCCTTTTAGAAAAATCTTGTACAGGACATAGCTGTTAAACTATAAGAGATATCAAGATGAAACTTTGTAGGTAGATGTATCTCAATAGGTAGATGTGCAGTGCACGAGAATCATAACTCTGCCTTGCCTAATTCTGGAGTTATTGCCATTTGTTTATTTTTACTTTTTGAAGTTGTCCGGAACATAACTCGGAAATCATAAGAGATATCAACAAGAAACTTTGTAAGTTGATAGATAACAGTGATTAGAAGTGCAGTGGAAAGAACAGTAACCCTGCCTTTTCTAATTTTGGAATTATTGCACTTTGAACTTTTTCCAGGGACATAACTCTGAAACTACAAGAGGTGTACTTTCCTGTTCGGGGAGCATCACCCGGCTCAAACCGGGCTCTTGTTAACTTAGAATTTGTTCCGTGGTTCACATTCAAGTTAAAAAGCTTTCAATGATATTCTCTTCAAACTTGAAGTATTTATTCATTATTAAGGAGAGTCTGCCAATTACTTCTATTTACATTAATTCACCCATTTTTACTTGGCTTTATTATGTTTTGAAGTACTTATCATGCTGTCTAAGGCATTTTTGTGTCAAAAGATGTATAGTTGATATGTTTGTAAATTCAGACCAAAGGTTTAAAAAAAATGTGATGAAAAAGGTGAGGTAAAGAACTTTATATTGTTTGAATGTTACTTATAACTTAAAGGAACTCCACTGAGGTACTATAGCCAAAAAACAAAAAATTATTTTCTGTCCTGGCATGTTAAATAAAACCTGAATGGAGTCCCTTTAACATATGAAAAATTCTCAGATTTAACAATTAGAAAAAATATTATTTTATTAGGCAACCAAAGTTTTCCTTGGTGCTCATGGTCTACTGGCCAATGGTTTTGTGATGTCGAGAGTTGGTAGTGGTCTAGTATCACTGATAGCTAAGGCCAGTAATGTACCAGTACTGGTATGTTGTGAGACGTACAAATTCTGTGAACGAGTACAGACAGACTCTTTTGTATTTAATGAATTAGGTATGTATCAAATTTTGTGTTTTAAGAAGTCATTGTGTTTTAAGAGACGTTTTTGTTTTAATAATCTCTTATATGAGTTATAATGCGGCCTCCATGTGTTTACATAAAATTTGCACCTTACCACTTGAGGTTTTATAACATGCCAGTAAAATTTGGGTTCTTAGAGGAAAAAGGAAGTTTTTCAGCAAGTATAAGGAAGGTCGGTGGTTCAGGTCTGATGCCTGCTCATGTCTGAAATAATGCACCCAAACGTATATTGTCGCCTTAGTGCAGTAATGGATTAAGTTCTTCTAAATCTAATAGGAGTTAACCAGTTATTGCACTAAGGGAACAATATACAGTTTTCATCGGATGTTGACATATCTTTTTAGTATCAGTGTACAAATATGACTTTAACACATGAATTCGGTATGACACTGCCGAGGCTATTTATGTTTATTTCATTACTTTTGGATGAATACATCATTATTAAATTGTTATAGGACCTATATAACCAAACGTACGTAAAAGAAAAATAGAATGAAAAAATACAAACAAACCTTGATCTTCAACTTGTTTATTTTCAGAAGAAACCTAGTATTTCACTTGGTGTATTTTTAAAACAATATTTTTCATGCGAGTTTATCTTCTATTTAATATAACTGATATTACCAATGTGTATTTGAATGGATTTAAAACATTAATTGGTCATTTAAAATATCATGGTTTTCATTTATATACCAAAGACCAAAGTGATTTTGAAATTACTGAAAATATTGTCTCTGAATATAACCAAATTTTCTGTATTGTTATTAGGTGATCCAGATGACATTGTTGATATTGGGAAATCAGCGCCGTATCTGTGGGACTGGAGAGATTATAATTCATTGACATTGCTTAATCTCGTGTTTGACTTTACCCCACCCGAGTTTGTCTCCATGGTGATCACAGAGCTCGGAATGATTCCCTGCACGTCGGTTCCCGTGGTTCTCAGAATGAGGCAGGCCGAGACAAATGAAACTTAAATAAAGGTGCAAGATATATCCGAAATTTAAAATATGCGAAAATAAATCAGTGTTGTAATAAAAAAAGATCAGTTGTGACACAGGTTGCGGAACTTTTATTAAGTGCTAAATATAAAATGACATAATTTGTGACATTAAATGCTAAATGAAAATTAATTCCAGAAGCAGGCTGTGAGTTTAAGTTCTTAATATGTAAAAAAAAAAATCTTGTGACACAGGGTATGAATTCTAAATATTATTGAAATAAACATTAACAAAGTGACACAAATTTTGCTGTGTAAAATTCTTTGTGACACTTCTAATAATGGTGTAATTCTGAAGTGACAGTCATACAGTGATATTATGATAACAATTATGATAAAATATTTGTGAATTAACTTTGTATAAAAATACAGATATAAAATTTGCATAATGATAGCTGTTTCTTCAAACCATTGGATTTATGAGGGAAAAAAGTTGAAAAACAAGTGTTTGAAAAGAAAGGAAAATGATATAATAATTCTTTTTTTGATACACATCATCTAGTGAAAATCTTAGTTAATATTCTATTATCTGTTGTTGAACTGCAGATTTATTATACAGTCAACCGCACTTATTGTAGCAATATCTCTTATAATGATGTACAGTTTATAAGGATGATGTTGTTGTGGTGCCGACTCTTGTTTTCAAACTGGTTGTCTCTGGTATATAACGATATCTGGATATAACAATTTAAATTTGACAGTCCCCTGAATATGGTTATATACAGAGTTTACTGTAAAATCAAATTCAAAAGCTGGCTATCGTTTATCCAATGTCGCAAAAGTAGTAAAGAAAAACGAACTAAAATTTTATTTGTTTATTTTCAATTCCGGTCCAAGAACCATATTTTTAACATTAAAGGCCCATTACCGGTATGCATCAGAAATGCAATCATGTCCATTAATCAGATACGTTTTTATTTTTGGTATCTTGTTACAGTTTCAAAAAGAAATCACATTTGCCACATAATTGAACTATCTGTTGCTTCTTCTGCTCTGTTGGCAATTAGTATAATTACAGTGAATTAGTATTTTAAAATTGGCTCAAAGAAAAAATCTGCCAGTGCTAGCCCTGGGCAAAAATAAAAACACATCCTGTCACCACAAAATGAAACCTAAATAAATGAATGTGACTTTCTATCAGTATCCATTTCCCTGTTTATACAATAAGTTAACCACAATCAACAAGAATTCTAAAATGTAATTAGTGCTCGCCAATTTTTTTAAGCCAATCACCAACGAGGATTTTTCAAATTTTCAGGTTTCAAATCTTAATAGAACAGATTCTATTTAAACTGGACATTTTATATTATAAAACGCAAGTGGGCGGAGCTAAGTTTCGAAGAGCGCTAAAGTGAAATATACGCATGTGCAGAGATCTTGAAGTTTACTCCTACTAATCAATATTTATGCATCATGTTTTTTCCGTACACGCACATGTATATCGTCACTATGGCATATAATTAAAAAAAAGAGGTTCATTGAAATGAAAACAGGCAAAATAACAGTAAAAAATGTTTTATTACTTACGGAACCAGTATCATTTTATAGATTCCAAATAAAAACTTTATTCCAACAAAGTATGTATGTAATATTTCTTACTTTTTATGTAAATATTACAGCCTGTGTCGCTGCAAAACCGAAAGTAGGGTGTTTTTATGAATTTTACATTAAATTTTATTTTTGACAATATACTGCCATTTGTCCGAAGATGACATGTATATGAACATAATAAATATGTATGATGCATATATAATCAAGCCACAGGTTCATTTCAGCCCGAAAAATATGTCGAGGTGACGGGCGAGGCAAGACATGTCGACTTTTTGTAGCTTATTGTGAAGTTGCAGTACATGGAAATCGGGCACATGACAATTCAGCACATAAATAAAACATTCTAGTGTTCCGTGGTATACATCTTTTCTACGTGTCATACCTCCTTTCCTTATTACAATGAAACTTTACTGCATTGTTATCCATCGCTGGTTTGTTTTTTGCAGAGAATGACCTGTGCATGTTCAAAGAGGGTACCGTTTGAGAATATTTCGCAAAGAGGGTACCGATATGGATATGCACCGTGATATTGTCTGATTTACCTAGACAGAATGCGGGAATAAGCTATGCAGAATGCGGGAATAAGCTATGCAAAATACGTAACCCGAAAATGTGTACCGCTACCTCTTCCAAATATGGTTATACACATTTAGGCTATCATGTGACGTCACGCAGTGTGTTGGGCGGAAAAAATGGGCGGAGCACTAAGCCGGTTAGAGTGCATATTGGATGTTCTTCGTAAATAAGAAAGCTACAGTTGCTTCGCAAGCTCCGCTCCTTTTTAGCTTTCTTATTTACGAAGAACACCCAATATGCACTCTAACCTATACCTAATACCTGCACTCCAGTTAACACACTGTGCATTTATGGATATATGATTGAACTTGTTTTCAACAGAAATGTCTCCAAACTATGACACAACAACATTTTCCTGAACTTGACAACTTCTGTCACATCATATGTATATCTTATGGAAATATTTTTTATAAAATTCATAAACAGCTAAAGCTCTGCTATTTCCATGATCTTTTGGTCCATTTTTTGAAGGAATTGTAACACAGAATTTCTCTGTTAATTTAACACACATGAATATAGTATGTACAAAGTAAATGATATTCCGGAACAAATTATTTTAAGTAGGGTTTTAACTGCTTAGCAACGATTTTCTGCATACAGAAATATACATATTTCTTTTGTATTCTTTTTCAAAATTCAAACAGATTCATATTCTGCTACATATATCCAATTCCATGAAGCCACTGCACTTTGTTGTTGAATTTAATTTCAATCCATAAACTTTACGCCTATCATGATCATTTCTCCTTTAATCTCTTCACAAATGTAACTTCATCTTTATTTCTTATATTGTACCTAAAAGACGAAAGAAAAGACCTCACAAAATTATGAATATCTTAAATATTCTCATCTATGAATATCTAATAAAATAGAATTTTCATGACTGAGTGACATGAACTGAGGTATAAGATTTCAGGGATTGTGTTGGATTTACTTTAATATATTAAAGTTCAATATTCAACAACATCTTGTAGTTACAAAGTACAGCTTAATAAGCAATGCCAACTAAATTCCTTTAAGTATTAACTTACAAATTAGTAAAAGACCACTATAAGTGACCATTACAAGCAAACTGACCATGTAAAATGAACTACAGTCGGTTTATAATCATAGGACCTATAGACTGACACGCGCTGACGTATTTGTGTATTTGGGGTTGTAAACAATCGGTAATGTTTATGCGTCCCCAGGCAAAATTAAGCGTACGTGGAATCCTTGCTCTGAAATATTTGCGTCCAGCTGTAATAAACATGCGTACCGGGACGCCGAAATTAGCGTCCCCGAGAACCCTCTAGGGTCCTCCATTTTGTATAGTAAAGATGACATATAAGTTATAATTTATCTATGTTCATTAGCAGAATCATGTCACAGGTAAATTTGATTAAAATGATCAATTTATGAATATTCATATTTACTCTTTCAATTTTTTGTTATCTTCTGTGAGTTTCTGCCCATCAAAATATAACCAATGTCTCTTCCATACATATCTCCTGAAATTTTATAACAATAGAAAACATTTAAATAAATATGATATTTTGGGGGGTTGGGTTTTTTGTCCCACCAACACAGTAGAGGTCAAAATCGACATGCTTTACTGGTGGAGAAAGACCTCAGCTGCCCTTCTGTGCATAATTTCAGGCATGACAGGGCACCTGAGTGAAACCAACAACGTTCTGTAAGCTAGTTGGATAGCTTCCTCATGTGAAAGAATCCCTGGCGGGATTTGAACCTATAATGGTGAGGGGCAAGTGGTTTTAAGTTAATGGTCTTAATCACTTGGCCATGGAAGCCTCTATAAATTTGATTTGAATAAAAATTCTTTCATTAAGAAGTGTTATGTAATGCCAGCCCTGTCTGCAAGCATTTATGATTCCCAAAAAGGGATCCTTAAAAGTTATAGAATATTGCCTCTTGCAATGATTTTAAATAACTCCATCAGCTTTCAGTATTCAACTCCACTAAATTGAGGAAAGATTAACACTATATGGTAGAAATTGATTTCTGCAGAATGAAGAAAAAATGTTGTTGCATGTTTTACTATGCAATAACCCTGCCTTTCTGTTTTTGTTTTTTTTTAATTGCAGGGCAACCAATACATCTATAGGCTTTATACATTTTTGTAATACTAAATTTTATGTTAGAAAACAATCTGGCTAGATTATCAGCTCAGTTTCATGTTCTACAAAGGAGCCCAACTACACCTGAATATATTTACTGATAAAAAAAAGACAGAAAATTGTCATAAGACCTTTAAAACAATTGATGCTGGAAAAAGCCTGACTATGTCATAATTTATAATTACTTACTTTTCCACCAATCAGATGATATTACACTGGGTGCACAATAATAAACCTGCATCAATATACCCCTTAAAACCCTACTTCTTAAGCTTTTGCATCCAAATGGATGAATAAAAGATATATTACTGAGTTAATAAATTGTCTTTAACATAATAAAAACCTTTGTAATAAGCAAGTTTGTGTTTTTTCAGACAACTGAAGTAAAAACTTTAGTTAAGTAAGGATCTTGGACTGCTTTTAAATTAAGTGTTTGTCACCATGAATAAGAGGTGGTAACCCTTAAATAAGTGGTTGAACCTGCATCCATTGAACCCCTGGAAATTTAAAGTGATGCAATCCCTGATAACAAATAATAATGCATCTTAAACAAGAAATATTAGTGTATGTACCAGCTTAGATGTGTAGTCCCACCTTCACGAGACTGCTTCAGTAGAAAATGACGTTTAATTGCATGCTTCAAATCTAACACTGTTGCATTCTGTGTCACAACAACAGCTGAAAGAAAAATTAAAACAATAATTTTTACAGGGATGAGATAATTTGTTAAGTATAAGATATGTATGACAGTGAAAAAATGAGAAAAACCTAGTTATATCTGATTTCTGTCCATGATTTAACCCTGAGAGAAATAAATTATGGAAAAAAAATTTACTAATGATTACCCATGACTTGATCATCTGCTCTTCTGATATTCACAACCATTGCCTGGCCATACTCGAGTGCAACTTGTGAGTTTATCTCATCAAGTGTAATCTCTGGTGGTAAGTCACACAACAGAGGGTCATTCTGAAAATGAAAAGAAGCATCCAATTTTATGGAGATCACATTATAACCGAGTGATTATGGAATCAAAGAACAATTAGATATTACTGGTAAATTGTATTTGGCAAAGGATTCTGGTACAAAAAATTAAAAGAAAATAATCATATACAACTTTGTGAAGGTCACATTATAACCTATTCAGTGATTTTTTTAATGAAACTTAAATAAAGAACAATTAGATATAACTTGTATGCAAGTAAATATTTTTTATACAAAATGTATGTAACTATAAACATTTAGTTTTGCAGATGATTCTGATAAAAAGGGATAGGACTTTTAACATGTTGCATGCCCTCTAGATATGAAAACTAAGGTGTAACAAAAATGTGTTATTCAGGTAAAAATTTAAAAAATGAACCCTCAATCAATACAAACACTGAGAAACATTGGGTAAAATTAGTTTTCTCACCATCCCAAATTATAAAATACAGTCATGTCCAGTGATCTTGTGCGGCCGGTGATCTTGCACACTTGGCACCGGAAGTATATTTCCTTTTGTTTGGTTGTTTGTTTATGCTTTTGCTAGAAATTTTCAGCCAAAACTTGTGACTTGGACTTAAACAAAGTAAGAAAGTTAAAAAAATATCTGTCAAGGCCATCCTTAAACAAGAACCGGTTGAACCGGGTGATGCTCCCCGAGAAGGTTCTGGACACAGGAAAGTATAAAAAAATGAACAAAGGGCAATAACTCCAAAATTAGACCAGGCTTTGTTTAGGTTCTTGAAGCGTTGCAGTTCTATCCAATTACATCTAGCTACCTACAAAGTTTCATGTTGATATCTCTAATAGTTTTAAAGTAATGTCCAGGACAAAAGTCAAAAAGTAAAAATAAACAAAGGGCAATTACTTCAAAATAAGGCAAGGCAGAGTAATGATTCTTAAGCACTGCACTTCCACCCAATGAGACCTATCTATCTACAAAGTTTCATGTTAATATCTCTTATAATTTTAGAGTAATGTCCCAGACAAAGTTCAAAGTGTCAAAATGAACAAAGGGCAATAACTCCAAAAGTAGGCAAGACAGTGTTACAGTTCTTGTGCACTGCAAACTTACTCAATGAGATCTATCTACCTACAAAGTTTCATGTTGATATCTCTTATACATTAAGAAATATGTCCCGGACAAAGTTCAAAGTGTAAAAATAAACAAAGGGGGATAATTCAAAAATTAGACGAGGCAGAGTTACAGTTCTTGTGCACTGCACACCTACTCAATGAGATCTATCTACCTACAAAGTTTCATGTTGATACCTCTTATACTTTTAGAGTTATGTCCCGGACAAAGTTCAAAGTGTAAAATAAACAAAGGGGGATAATTCAAAAATTAGGCAAGGCAGAGTTACGGTTCTTGTGCACTGCACTTCTACTCAATGAGATCTATCTACCTACAAAGTTTCATGTTGATACCTCTTATACTTTTAGAGTTATGTCCCGGACAAAGTTCAAAGTGTAAAATAAACAAAGGGGGATAATTCAAAAATTAGGCAAGGCAGAGTTACGGTTCTTGTGCACTGCACTTCTACTCAATGAGATCTATCTACCTACAAAGTTTCATGTTGATACCTCTTATACTTTTAGAGTTATGTCCCGGACAAAGTTCAAAGTGTAAAAATAAACAAAGGGGAATAATTCAAAAATTAGGCAAGGCAGAGTTACGGTTCTTGTGCACTGCACACCTACTCAATGAGATATATCTACCTACAAAGTTTCATGTTGATACCTCTTATACTTTTAGAGTTATGTCCCGGACAAAGTTCAAAGTGTAAAAATAAACAAAGGGGAATAATTCAAAAATTAGGCAAGGCAGAGTTACGGTTCTTGTGCACTGCACACCTACTCAATGAGATCTATCTACCTACAAAGTTTCATGTTGATACCTCTTGTTGTTTCAAAGTTATGTCCCGGACAAGAAAAGGGGACGGACGGACAGACGGACGGACGGACGGACAAGGCGGCGACTATATGCTCCCCCGAAATTTTTTCGGGGAGCATAAAAAATGTTTGTTTGCAGTAACCCGACCCAGAATTTTCAAGGTGGGTAGGTAGGCTGATTTTTTTTTTTTTTACTGAACTGTACTTTATGGAAGTCTACAGCCCTGCATACCAAAACAAAACTGAAGATCTACACATCCAATGTCTGCTCAGTCCTTCTGTATGCGTCTGAGACCTGGAGAACCAACACCAAGGTTGAGAGTAGGCTAAGAGGCTTCAAGAGTCGCTGTCTACGACGCATTCTTAAGATCCGCTGGCAACAACATGTCACTAACGTAGAGGTCAACAGACGCTCCGGGATCACCAACATTGTTCAAGAGGTCAAGTCCAGACGATGGAGATGGCTGGGTCATGTTCTGAGGATGAAGAAGCAGAGACATCCTCACAAAGTACTGAGATGGACACCACAAGGCCAGAGGAAGAGAGGTCGTCCACTAGGCACCTGGAGGAGAACCATCGAGGAAGAGATGAAGGCAGCAGGCAAGACCTGGAACGAGCTGAACTGGTTAGCTCAGGACAGGGATGGCTGGAGGAGATTTGTTGGTGCCTTATGCTCCACCTGGAGCGAAGAGGATTAGTAGTAGTAGTACTCCCAAATAAACATGGAATTTCAAAATGCTGGACAATATATGCTTTGATAATCTGGTAACAATTAATAAATTGATAACTGAATTCTAATTTAATAAGACCTACATTTGAAAACAAAGCACAAGGCATAATTTTCTGATTCAAAAATTATTTTTTTTATCCAGACCATGAAAAAAAATTTTGAGTATGGGCAATTTTTTCGAGTCGGTCGTGTTACTGCAAACAAACATTTTTTTAAGGATGGCCCAAACATGTTTGTTTACATTAATTCGTCATCCTAATTATCTATTCATAGACACGCCCACTGACCTATTTTTCCATTATATTCCTGTCTATTAATCCAGTTTCAAAATTGTACGTCCAGCAAGAATGAAAATCAGTATCACAGATTTGAAAACGGTATTGCACCGATAAAGCCTTGTAAATTTCCTTTTTTCCCTTTGCAAATAATGGTGTATTCAGTTGTTATCTTCTGCCGATTCCCGCCATCTTGTCAAAAATGGAAAGCCCCTCCCGCGCTTTTCAATTTTTTTTCTCCGTAAAAGGGTCATCTTTTACAAAATTTGAAAAGAAAATGAATGACTTAAACAGAACAACGATTTCAATCATAAAAATAAAATTTAAAAAGTAAGATGGTGGTGATGATTTCAGGTGTCCCAGGTGTAGTAGTGAACAGAAAAATAACAAACCCTTGATGTAAATAAGTTTGTGTTACAGTTTTGTTTGAACAGTTTGAACAGTTTAAATTAACTTTTCATTAACTGGACTCACAAACTTTATATTGATAGTACTACTGGGACACCATACTTTAAAAACGAGCTACCGTGACGTCATTCATAACACATGCGCAAGATCACCGGACAATTGAATGTTGGGATTAAACATGGTGTTAAGTGTTTACATTGTTGCACTCTTGCAGTTCAATGAGTTATTTCCAAAAAATATTTGTGTTATTATATGTCTTTAAGATTTTTGCAAATAGGAAAATAATTATGATTTTTTTTGTATTTATTTGAATCGTAGTAAATTAGCCGATAAGTGCTTAGGTGCGCAAGATTACCGGACAGCATCGTATATATATATTATAAAGGTGAGTATCATACCTGTATAATATCAGCTAAACCTTTCTTCACTTTGGACATAGCTTCAGTATGTGACAAGTTCTGATCGTCATTGTTTGCAATTTCCGTGCGAATCTTATCCTGCTGGACCTCAGATTCCATACCATTAAGTAAGAGAGTAATAACGTGTAAAGTACAATATCATCAACTTGACCAGTTAAATTCTCAACGAATGAACGATATAGGTTCAATGGCAAACGTATTGTATTGATATTTAGTTGTATCTAATGCTCAAAGTATAAAAGGGTTCATCATTTACACATTAAATTGTTGTTAAACACTCTCTGGGAATCTTGAGAGTCTAAAATAACATATGTTATCATCATATATAATTGTCCATACAATGGTGTGCTTAAATTAAAGGGACATAACTCTTGAGATCAAAACAGTGTATCCAAACCTAATTACACCAAAGGACATTTTTTTTTGGATAAATTGATAATAACGCTTGTCAAATAATAACATTTGTGACTTTTCATAAATATTGAAGATTATGTAAAATTTCAACACTAAAGAGTTATTTGTTTATAAGAAGTTTAATACAGTAATTTTCTTTAATGTTACAAGCGGCCAATTTTCGTTGCGTAATCTGTGTACATGTGACACGAAAACGTGAATTTTCTATTTATAGCCCAAACGGTTTGCATATAGATGTATGTTCTAAATCTTTGTTTACATCTTAAAGTTGAATGATTACGCAAACTCAGATTTTTTCATACAAATGAGAAAGACCCAGTAACGAGAAAAGAAGAAAATTCATTTACTAAAGGTGAGTGCATTTTTTGTGTCTTTTGCATTTAAATTTTGAATTATTTTTAAAACGATAAGGCAAGGCTAATTCTGTATTGTACAGTAACCAGAGTAGACTGCGTCCTATGCAACCAGTGAAGACCAAGATTCCAAGATCATTTAGGCTTTAGCACATCCCCATCTCTGGGACATTGCCCCTGCCCCGCCCCTTTATCCCATGTCAAATGCTGTCTTTAAAGCTTATAACAGTATAATATATCATGTTTAAATAAAAATGCAACAATTAACAGATTATGATTACTGTAACTGATTAATTAATGAATTATTATTGATATAAATTGATAAACTTGTGCATTATAATTTAAACATTAACTTAATTAAGAGTGCATTTGATTTTATATGCATTAAGCAAATGTCCAAACAGGGGGGCAAATGTCCCTAGTTCTTGCTTCTAAAACTTCATAAGCCGCTTTTTGATATTTTTGTTTTTCATCTGATGCGGCGTTCATGTCATGTCATATTATATAAACAAGTACACTAAAGACCTTAAGTGATTAACTTTTAGAGTGGGGGAAAATATCCGTATACAGGTGAAATATGAAAGATACAATAAATTATTATGAAAAATGACAAAAGGTTTTGTCAGCAATGGAAGATGGATTAGCACATTTTATAGGATATTTAGCATGTTAATTCCAGATTACCCGTATTTAAGAAGTAACATATCCCAAACAGTGATCTAACCGCTCAATAAATTCACTGTTTGGAGTTGATGTGAGGGATAATTTATATAAGTTACGCCCTCGTGATATTATGATATTCATCCTTATGACACACTTAATATTATTATTTATCATACAATAAAATCATTATAGATTTGCATAATAATTTCAATTAGATAACTTGACCTCAACAAATAAATGCTGCTGTCCCTGATATTAAGCTAAATTGCTCTTTCAGTGTTTTGCATTTCTCATGGTTACGTCATATGTCTTAATATAGATTGTCAATGCTCAGTGACCTTTATTGCATAATAACGCACATGTTCGGTCCTTCTATAATATCGATGTTCAGTAGGGAAACAATGCGGGTAGTATTAGAATATATTATACTTTAGCAAATAAGTCAGTTAGGGTTTAATTATTCATTGTTACTTTATTTTTCAGATATATTAATTGCAAGGATGGTGTCAATAATTGATGACTATAACATAACACTATGTGCTATAGTAACTGTGGCCATGCAGTTCACATTTTTCCTGATTGCTTGTTCATGCAAGTTTGACAAAGTGACAGACTTTGCTGGAGGCACAAACTTTGTTGTATTGGCTCTATTAACATTCTTACTCGCACAGGTATGCTTTATTGTTATTAAAATCATTTCTGAACTAAAAATTGTTAAAAGCAGCTCACTGGCTTTCAATATTTTCATGTCTCACTGAAAATAATGAAGCTTCATAACACAAGGTTGGTGGTTCTACTCAGTTGCCAGTTTAATTATGCATGTATTATATTAATGCATGGAGGGGTACCTGAGGTTTTCTCTATCAGTAAAGGTGGAAAGTCACCATATGACCCTATAGCAGTATTGGTGTGACTTAAAAAACATAAATCAGTTAAAGTTCCTATAAACAATTTCAATTAATTAATTGAAATTGTTAATAGGAACTTTAACTGATTTATTTAATATTATAAGAATGCAGCATTAGATAGTTGGTTGTAGTATTGGCTCTTTACACCTTAGAAAAAGGAACATAATTATATAACCAAAGTTTTGGCATCATTATGTACCACACTGCACAGCATTGATAGAAGGGGACAGATAGAGGGAGGAAACTCAATCATTGCTCTTTTATATCATAATAATGAAAAATGGACTTGCAATATAGTCGCACAAACAAATTATGAATGGTTACATTACTTGCTTTTGTCTGCTGGTTTTAACCTTGTTGTTAAGCATTGTGGGTCATAGTATTGTGTTCTTTCCTACGAAGGGTCAAACATTGAGCTTAATATGGAAGTAAGGCAATATTTTCCTCTGCCGTTGTAGCTTTGTACTTCTCACATGATCATGAACTTTGACCTCATCCACAGAGACATTAAGTATATGATAATGGTAATGAATAACTATATTGAATGAGTAATTTCCTTTATACATTGTAATTGTAATCATCAATTATCAGACATCTACTACATGTACTACTGACCTATCATGTGACCAGGATGAATTGGTTTCAATTTTATTTTTAAGAGGCTGCAATTGACTGGCCCAGTACTTGACCATAGTATTAATGATAAGTGGCAGGTACTTGAATCTTGGACATGACCAAATGCTTTAATTGTACAGTAAATTTATTTTGATGACATTATGACTGTCATACCTTTACTAAATTAACTGTATTCTTTTACTATAATTATGAAGGGTTGACATCTAAGTTACCATACATATACATTATACAGTTACAATATTTTGGTACTATGGAGATTTTTAAAACTCCAGTGCATAAATGCCAAGTCAAGAGCTCAAATCTATGCCACTCCATATATTATTTCAATCACCAGTCTTTATTGGTTATGTATGTATATTAATTATAAACTTAGTGTCTTTTTAAAGGCCAGATTCAGTTAGGCAATAATGATTTAATGGCAGAAGCCTTAATTAGCCTAATTAATCTGTATGTCACATAGGCCCTTTTAGCAGACTACTAGGAAAGTAAGAAAATGTACAGACCTACTTGTATGCCATTAGTAAAGATCTACATCAATCTACATGCTTACACAATGTTACAGAAAATATTCTAATTGGTTACTGTGATGCATAAATTATGGCATCTGTGTTTGTTTTTTACTTTTTCACCTTTTTGCAACAGATCCAGATCTGACTTATTGGAAATTATAACTTTCACTATATACATGTATGATTCATTTGAAATGCCCAATCAAATATGTTCATAGTCATTGGCCTGACTTTGACAACATTCTGTGGAAAAAAGTAGATAATGTTTAAAATTTTATGAAAATTTGATCATCATTTTTCATATTTAGGAGGTGAAAGGAAGTAGAGTGTTAGGTTATGATTTTAAATTGAGATTGGCATAATGTGAACAATTACTAAAAATGACTTAAGAACGAGAAAATTTACTTTGCAGTCTTATGTGTCATTTATTTTTCAGACATACGCAACAAGGCAGATAATGGTGACTGTATGTATATGTGTATGGGGAGCGAGGTTGTCCGGGTATTTATTGTATCGAATAATCAAGATCGGAGAAGATAAACGCTTTGATGATAAACGAGACAACTGTCTGGCATTTGCTGGCTTCTGGACATTTCAGGTAACACTGTTCAATCCTGTATGTTTCGAAGTAAAAACTTCATCGTCTATGATAGATTATAGAAGTGAAATATGATTTTTTTTTCGAAATAGTGCTTATTAAGTTTTATTGATGATGTGATAAGTGGACATGTGTATGCTGGGATTGGGGCTTTAAGGTGTTTGAAGCTCCACACCCAAAGTGTCTGTGGCTTGATGGAGTCACTTTCCATGTTCCTTTCATATTACATAATTACTGGTTAGTTTCAGTAAGTGGACTTGTAAAGTTCAGGTTCTCTTCAAAATTGAGCTAAATTTATATGTTTAAATGAGTATTATAGATTTCTTGGATATTTCAATATTTGTAATTCAGATTCAGGTCACAAAATAAAGTTCTCTGAGTAAATGTTTACAGATCTGTGTTTTATCAGCAGTTATAACAAAATTAATGACCATGTTTCATGAGCAATAAATGAGCCGCGCAATGACAAAACCAACATAATGGGTTTGCGACCAGCATGGATCCAGACCAGCGTGCGCATCCCCGCATTCTGATCAGGATCCATGCTGTTCACTATCAGTTTCTCTACTAGCTAAAGGGTTTGTAAGCGAATAGCATGGATCCTGATCTGACTGCGCGGATGCGCAAGCTGGTCTGGATCCATGCTGGTCCCAAACCCATTATGTTGGTTTTGTCGTGATGCGGCTCAAATAATGAATATTGAAGTAGCTAAGGTCATTCAATGAACAGTGTATAAACGTGAAAATGAAGATTCATATTTAAGTTTTTGAATACTAAACTATAGAGCAGTTTAAATAAGTAATAAATTTAATTTTAGTTTAATAAATTTTGAAGACAAAAAATTCATGCTTTTGTTTGGACTTTTTATGTTTATTTAGACATTTTGAAAGGAGTCTTATAATTTCATCTGTTGATAAGAATATTTCACACTAATTTATAAGGTGCCTGGTCAGGTCGGGGAGATGTCCATCATTTCTCTCTTATGCAGAATTATAGTGCTAGAATATCCAGTTAAATTCCTTTTCATGTTTTAACACTTTACCTGTGTCTGAACTTTAAATTTAATAATATTTTATAATACCAATTATTTATGATATTGAAGTTATCTCCCATGATATTTCTTTAATTTTCAGCTTTTGAAAAACACATTTTATATCTGTATTTTCTTTTGTGTTTTCTTATACTAGGCAGTTTGGGTGTTCACAGTTAGTCTGCCTGTTATATTTATCAATGCACCAGTCAGTGCAGATAGAAGAGATTATTGGACTGTGATGGATATTGTTGGCCTGACTTTATTCACTATCGGCCTTCTGTGTGAAGCTATATCGGACCAGACAAAGTTTATGTTCAGGAATAACCCCGCCAACAAAGGCAAATGGTGTGATACAGGTATTGAAAAAAATTAATTTGTTACCAGGATATAATTGTGTAAGGTTAGAAAATGTTTAATTTTTAATTATTTATAATTTTTATTACACTGACTGTATACATTTTGATAATTTCAGTTGTGTTTGTGAAGGTTTTTTGTCTGTAAATAATTTAAGGGAAGCTCCAATAGTGTTTCTGAATTCGTTTCAAGAATAGTTAATTGACTTGATATTTAGTTTAGCTAGATCAAGTAAAAAGATAGCTATCCTACTCAACCATTGCCAATGCTGTTTTCACATCCAGGTTCCTAAAAAAGTTTTTGTTGTAAAATACTTTTAACTCTTCCAATATTAATTTTTTTATATCTACGTAAGATTACTTTAGAACTAAAATAATTCTTCCTTATCCTTAAATATGTATCACTAATCCAGCCTCATATATGTGGTTCATAACAGTAGCATAATATGTAAGACTTGTCTCCCTTCTAATGTAAAGTTTTATGTATAAATTGTTGCTTTCTACTTTTTTTAAAAAAAGATCTGATGTTTGAAACTTTAAATAGGTAATCCTTATCATTCCTATCAATTATTTATGCTTACCCTACAAAAGTTACATGAGCTTGCCACTGGTATAGAGCCAGGCCAGTCTGCACATATACACAGACTCACCTGATTCTATGCTGTTTCCTGACTAGCTCAAAATTTATATCTTGATATACGCAAGCCTGATAAGTGATTTATCAATTAATCACTAAAAGCAGGTTATCAAGGGTGCTGTCCCTGACAATGTAAGTTAAGGGAAAGTCTGAAAGGCAAGCAAGAATATAGATAGGTAATTGAAAGAAAATGTATTTACAATACAACCCTAATATAGTAGAATTCAGTGAGGGTTGAAAACAGATGGACAAGATTGTATATGGTCATAATAATTTTAAAAAAGCATCACATGTTCCTAAAATTCATTTTAGCTTATGATAAATACATTTAAAGTTAAAATGTTTTATTTTCTTACTCAAATTGTTTGTAGAATGAACATAAATACATGTATGTAAGAATAAGTTAAGGGTTTGCTCCTAAATGAAAAAAATTGAAAACGGGTTTTAAAAAGAGTCATGGAACAAAAACCCTTATAAAGTTTGGGGAAACCGGGAAAATCCAACCGTATAGGAGAGTGACAAAATTTTTTGTTGGTTTCCTTTTTTAGTTCCTTCCTTACTTTTTTTAAATTTAAGGACATTGACTTTTTAACAATTGATTCAAGTTGGATAGACCCTAGCTTTGTAATGATTGGTCTTATAGATTATTAAATATGTTAAAATTATTCAGGTTTTTGGAAAGTTTCGAGACATCCTAACTACTATGGTGAGATACAGTTGTGGATTGGTGTATTTATCATCAGTACAAGTGTACTACAGAATGGGGAGTGGGCGGCCGTACTGTCACCGATATTTATCTCAGCTATATTACTTTTCCTCAGTGGAATACCACTATTAGAAAAGAAGGCCGATGAGCGATATTTCAAGTAAGTTCACATAAAAAATTCTATACCATTTATAAAATCACTGAAACTGTTTGAATTTAATGACCAGTTCAAAAAGGTCATGGGAATTATAGAAGCACACATGAGAGCTGGACAAATACTCATTTCTCAATTGAGAAAGTACAAAATCATAATATGAGCAGCATCACGACAAAACCAACATAGGCTGGTGTGGATTCGTGCTGAATGCAAAATGCACTATGTTGGTTTTGTCGTGACGTGGCTCATATACTTGAGTACCACTCATGTACTTTGTCTTTGTCTCTATAACTGTCAATTACTAATATTCATTTTGTGTATATATTTTAGTCAAGTTTTTTTGGTGTTTTTACTTAATTTTTGCACTTTAACTGCTTTCTTCACTAGTATAATGCATCAAGTTGATCCTGTACATGATTATTACACCAAACTCTGTGTAACGTTTTGACGTAGTCCCTATTCATGTCATGTGATGCTGACATAATTTCCAGTTTACTATTTATTATTTATTTATGTACTCTGAAGAAGGCTGTCCTGCCAAAACGTTGGTAATATTAAAGGGAATTTTAAGAAGTCAGATAATTACTTTTGAAGCCATTATATTTTAATGGGAGAAAAAATGCTTTCAAATCTTTGATGCTCATTGTTTACTAATAATGTATGTTAAATTTAAGTTATTTATTTTCTATTTTTTGACACAAACTTTTTTGTTTTCAGAAATGAAGAGTATAGAAGGTACAAGAAGAGAACAAGTCCATTAATTCCACTTCCTCCAGCATGCTATGGTTGTCTCCCTTATCCAATCAAATGTCTCTGTTGCTGCGAGTTCCCGCTGTATGATCATCTAGCAGAAGAGACGGAAAAGATAACCGTTACAAAAGACTTGGAAGCAGGCACAAATAGAAATGAATCTAATTCAGCTAACAATGTGTGATGGCAAAAAAATGATAGAATTTGATTTTGGGTTGGTGATGCCCTGTTTTGGAATGCCAGATCATGCCAGGGTTTCTTAAATTGCACAAAATTGTGCTAGTTTCTAATTAATCAAAAGTTTTTTATATCAGCAGGTCAAGTTTTGAGTGTTGAAGAGATTTAAATGCCAAAATTGATAATAAAAGGTACCATTGCCTTGTAATATGTGCTTATAGCATAAAGCCATGAGGGCCTTTTGAATCCTATTTATTTGGCTATGTTGTTTGTTTAAGTTATTTAACTATAAATATCATGTTTTATGGACATGATATATTTTGTTTAGCTGTTACACTTGTCTTATGTTATTATGCAAACATAGACATGTATATTAAACTACACATGTCTTACAGCATCATGAAAACATAGACTTGTGTATCTACCTATACATGTCTTATGACGTTATGAAAGCATATATATATTGTAGATAAAATGAAAACCATAATTATGTTAATTTATTTAACATAGAATATAGATTACTTGGTTTTGTTTCCTTTTATATTGATTAATAGTTGAGAAACTTTTTTTTGTTGTTGCAAGATTAGCTATTGATACTTATTGTTTCTTGTTAATTTGATGACAATTTTCTGTTTGGATAGTTGTAAATATCTTACTCCTGGTTGCATATTTCAATGGAAATTTGAGTTATAAATTTGACATTATAAATATTGGTAGCTTCAATTACATATAGAACCGGGAGGATGAGCAAGGTCAAGATATTTGTAGCATTCTGTTAGGTTTTTATAACCTATGTGTTACTTGTCTCTTTTGTAACTGTCAAAAGATGAAATTGATAATACAATAGTGTGTTTTATGTTATCAGACTTTTTGTATGTTTTGACTTGAAGTGCTAATAATATAGATCACATTTGCTGTAGTCACATTATTATTCTGTGTGTTTAACCATTCTGGGATGTAGCTTTTGTATTTTGTTCATACAGCATATATCATATGCTTTTATTACACATAGTTTCTGTTTGTTAGATAAAATTAATGTTTTTTTTCAATATATGGACCTCTGTGTAGTACAGTTATATATTCTAACGTTTTTTAACCTCACCAACCAATATACAATGTAAATGGACCTCAGAGAAGCTAGTCCATGTCCATGTCAACATTCATTAATTATGTATTAATGTAATTTATTTTTATTGTTAAGAACAATCTTTGAAATTTTCAGAGAAAAAAATCATGCATTTGGAGTCTTACTGCTCTAGATATACATGTTTATGGATTTTGTAGCTTGGCTGTTTCATAGAAAAGTCAAACTGTTCTGGTCACCATGTCGTCATAGTTGTTGTCAAGCAAAAACTTTAATGTAGCCAATTGTTCAAACATTTTAAAAGTAATCAACATGAAACTTGGAATACTTGCTTGTCTTGACAAGGTGCATTTGTAACTATATTTTTGGAGTTATCTTCTTTCTAACTTTGAAGTTTTGTCAAAAGTGGTTATTTAAACAGACAATTGTTAACACCTCATGCAGTGCTCTTGTAAAGATTTTATTATTATATAGAAGATGTTGTGCCTTTCTCAACAATGTATGTTCCATTATACAACTTATAACTCCCTCTTCCCTGATTATAATTATCTACCTCAGACTGCTGTTTACAAATATATTTCTTATTAATATTAAGTGATATCAAGTTGGCAGTATTTCTTCTACAAAGAAATAAAATATTTTATAAATGTTGGTATGTGTAAAACTGATCCTCTGCCAATTGTAATTTGATGCATATAGTAATTGAATTTTTTTACGATCATTCAAAGTGAAGATTGTTTAATATTTATGTCCAAAGTTGGTAAGGAGACCAGCTTACTCCACTCACTTCTGTTCAGAGTTGAAACACAATTATATATGATGACTTAACAAATCTCATAAGTGTGCATCTTTCATATGGAAATGACTTTCTTATTCATGAATATTTTAGATAAAAAATTTGTGTACTGGTATTTGACTACATTTCCAGCATGGCCTCTTGCCTGAAGGTTTTTTTTTTTAAATTATACATTTTGTTGAACCATGAACAACCAAAATCCACTTTATGTATGACTAATGTACATGTGTTGTATGTGAAATTACTTTAAACATCATTAAGAATGTATAACCTTTAGGGAATGAATTTTAACTGTCCCATTTGAATGTATCGTAAATGAGTTATACAGCCAGAATAACTGCCACGTAAGAATGTATAAGGAATGAAAGTAACTGCCAAATAGGAATGTATAGGGGATAAATTTAACTGCCACGTAAGAATTTTAGGGAATTAATTAAACTGCCAAACATGTGACAATGTATAACAACAATAAATGAGAAGATCCTGCAAGGCTGTGATAGGCATACTGCATACGCCAATGCCATTTTAGAATTATTGTCAAAGATATCATCATTATGGAACATAGACTTTTCATACGCCTTCACATTCATTTAGCATGTGTGTTAAATTTGCGTATAGATTGTCTCTCAACTGTATTTTCTGAAAAATTTGGACATAATCTTGCTAATATTGACACACATTGGAGTACTAATACACATACACTTAATTGATTTGTAAAGTGTACTTTTCACGTGCATTTAGTTGTTCTAAATATAAAATAAGAATTACATGTACTGAGTAATTTCCTATTGTTTGATATAGAAGTCATGACATCATTATTTTGCTCTGTGTATGGTGAATGCCACAGGGATACAATTTTTAAGAGGGTTGTTTGTGGGAAGGGGAGGATGATTGCATCACGAGATGACCTTACCAGGAGCAAAAATTACATTGAACAAACTACCTGTTGGTGCCATTTTATAAATTCTATATATTTTCTTTTACATTTTTATCTTCAATTGTGTTACTATGTTCTGGTACTTGATTTAGTACATAAACACAAATACAAAATGTAAATTTGTTTGTTGTAGTATTTCAATACTCAAGATTGTTATTTGTAAACTTTTACCCTGCTTGTAGTCTCTGTCACCAGTTTAGAGCCAGCGTGGCCTTGTACATCTGTGCAGTATGGCCATGTTATATATGGATGGTATTTAATATTGAAATTCCTGAAATTCCAAAATCAAAGTGGGGAAAATCCACTGGATAACTTCAGTAGGTTGAGAGTTAAACCTAAAACTACCAAATTGTTTCTGGGACTAATAATGTAACTTTGTATCTTTCTGTCCCAGATTGTTCATTATACCTCACGTAAACCTTTTATTATATAGCCTAATGTGACGTCACATGGTGTTATTCCGATCTATCATCCTGGAAATGAATATCAATATTCTTTTGCAATATTCCCCAGGGGCGAGTAATCTATATAGGTTTAAGAAAACGTTATGTTGTAGTTCCCTCCCCTGATAAAGCGGTGAAAAATTACATTAAAATGTTGGTTCAGTTTAATAACATCTCTTTGGGTAATAGTGCTTATATTACATGTATTAGCCCCGCCTCGGGTGTTATTTCAGATCTCGGACTGCTAATGTGCACTATTACCCTAAGAGACATGTGTTATTTTTATGATAATACATTAGTCCTGCTTTGAATCTGGGACTCAAGTCTGTCTACAATCTAAGGATGGCCAGATATTAGGGAAAAAAAACAAAAACAAACAAACAAAAAACAACTGACAGCACATTATTTCAGGCCTGGTCATAATGCATAAAAGTACAGTTTGGCTTGTCTGTACACTTGGGGTTTATTATACATGTACATGTAATTGAATTTTGAAAAGCTCATGCATCAATCTATTTGTAACTCCATTGTTCTACACCACAAAGAGATGAGAAGGGGGATAAGTTGTGCATTTACCCCCCAGTTGTTCTGTCACCACTGGACCGTTAGAGTTGTGTGAATGTTCTCCTGCTTTTTAAAGAATAAAGGGGATATAGAAGTGTGCTCTATCCGTCCGTCTGCACAACCCCAAGTGACATTATGGGACGGGTATCTGTATTCTTTCCATACAGACTATACTTGTGGCGAAAATATGTTGTTTATGGGGCTTTACAGATTAAAAAAGATCAAAGAAATAACCAACCCTATAACGTCAAATCAGGGGAAACAACTGGATGAGCTTATGGTTTATGAGCTTCATTAGTCCATAATTTGGTTAACAAAAGAAGGAAACCCCACAGACCAGTCCGTGTATGTTCTAATTTTACTGATTTATGAGAGAAAATGGCACATAAGGATCAAAGAAAAACGCATAGACCCCAAATGTTGTAAATACATTCGTATGTTCGTTACACTTGTTTCCAGTCCATAACCGAATCATTTAACAAGGGATTTTAAAATAACTTAGCACAAATATTCACCAAAATAAGACGACATGTCATGTACAACACCCAGACACCTACATCCTAGGTCAAGGTCACACTTAGATAACCACTTTCAACATTGTCTATGCTCAACATTGTCTATGCTCAATACCTAAGCCGGGCCTACCTCCAAGGTCAAGGTTACATTTTGAGATCAAAGGTCAACATTGTGTGATAGAGGGTTTATTTTGTGTCCGGTTCAATTACTTTTTCATCCGTCAAGTCATCGTGAGATCACTTGGTACAAATGTTTATAATAAGTAGAAATGTCATTCGCTACACCCAAACCCTTACCAAGGTGAAGGTCAAATTTAGAGGTCAAAGCTTAACATGGTCTGTTACAGGGCTTGCTTTATGCCCGGTTCATAACTTTTTCATACATCAAATGATTTTCAAATAAATTTGCACAACTATTCACGTGATATATGCAGACCCAGGCCACTACCTCCAAGGTCTAACTAAGTACAAGGTCACAATAAGATGGTCTGTATTTAACTTTGTCCAGAAAACAACTCCGAAAGTATAAGAAAGGTTTCGATGAAATTTCAAATATAAATAGAAAACAGTGTAAGGAAATGCGATGCAGATGAACTATAATGATCACCATTAAAAAAAAGAATTATATCCCTTTATGTACATATTTTCATTATTAAAACTGCTCAAATGTAAATTGTATTCCACATACACAAGACTGATTTCATTATATTTCTAAAAAAATGTTATTGTTAAATAAGATCTTGGATCATGTCAATAAGCCGTTTTCTTGTCAAATGTTGTAGCTAAATGTGTTTTTATTGTACATATATCTTAATGTATTATCATTAAAGAAGAATAAAATGCAATATGTATTTGTATTATTTAATATGGTGACTTTGAAATAATTGGTAAGCTCACCTTTATATTTATGATCATTCTCAGACAACGGCCGGTACATACAAAAATGTTCTATGGTGACCTAGGTTGATATAATCTTTCTGAGAGCGTCTCCCGTTTATATTAAATTTACCAATAACTCGTACTATATTTAGCTTAATCTTGGTGTCGAAAGAAGGTTCTTGGTTCGTTTCCCGGCTGGATGTTTCAAGTGAGACGTTTTTTAGAGGCCCTTTAATGACCGGATAAGGCGCACGCAGACAAAGTTTCAACTAACTCGGCCCGATTCTCGATTATGAATCTCGTCTGTGGCGTCTGACCTGAACATAGGTGTCGTCTGTTTTGTGAAGCTTATCCCGCGGTACTTGCCTAGACGGCATGATAAATCTATATGAGCCGCGTCACTACAAAACCAACGTAATGCGTTTGCGACCAGCATGGATCCAGACCAGCCTGCGCATCCGCGCAGTCTGATCAGGACCCATGCTGTTCGCTATCAGTTTCTCTAATTGTAATAGAGTTGGTAAGCGAACAGCATGGATCCTGATCAGACTGCGCGGATGCGCAGGCTGGTCTTGGTCCATGCTGGTTGCAAACGCACTATGTTGGTTATTTCATGACGCGGCTCATATGTTGTACTGACGTCAAACAAAGAAGCATAATTTCGGTCAATCCTCTACATGCAACTAATGTTCAGATGTCACCTAGCTATTTTGCAAAGGCAAATACATGTAACTACCAGTAACCTCAAACAATGAAAACTAACAGAACTATTGAGAAAGAAACAGAAAAGCATGTGTGTGGCATATATTCATACAAAGAGCGTTAGTAAAAATACTAACTTGGTCAAATTTGTGACAAAGTCTTTATTAACACCAAGAAAAAAAACAAGAAGAAAGATGTAAAGGGAAGTAAATGCGTAACATGTAGGTTAATTTTTTTATATAAGTTATCCCTCTTTCTGTTCGTTCATGGAAATTTTTATGCACACAAATTTAAGCTACGCTAACAACACATACAATAATCAGATATTTGAAATTCTTATGGTATCCATAATTGTATATGTAGGCTACATGTATCAAATTTTGGTAAATGGAGTTGCGCACTTATGGACCCGAAACAAAAAATAAATAATAAAAAAAGTTACCAATACAGGAAAGGTTTGCATGTAACGTTATAGAAGTCACACAACGTGTACGCTGGTTATGTCGAATAAGTTTTAAACAAATAGTAATGCAGGGGTGTTGACCTTCAATGAAAGTGGCGATACATCGGGCATCTTTTTGCAACGCCGGAACCTGACGTTTAAAGACACTCGCTGCTCATCGGCATTTTCCGTGAACTTGAAATTTATATTGTTTTTAGAGTAAGGTGAATACGAGAGTCATGAAAACCAATTCAATTGCTTGCCGTAGCATTAGTTCTACGTTGTCGGCAGCAGACGACAGTCCAAACATCTGAAAATACGCATCCGTGCAGACGGATATGAATCCATGTGGATTTAGGTACGTCTCTAACGCGGACATTTCCGGGTTCAATCGGAACAAATCATCAACAGCCATACGGAAATGTGGACAGTCTTGTAAAAGCACATTGTCGATTTGAAGTGGCTTGAGGATGCATCGTTTTCCTATTTCACTTGTGCTGTGGTAAATATCCACACGGGGCATTTTATTCTGATATAACCGTAAAACAAATCGAGTCGTCCCATTCTCCCCTTTGCAAACGCGTGGTAAGTTGTTGGCATTTTTTAGAACCAAGGATCGAACGAAATCGATTAACGCAAAAACGGAGCAGCTTTTAGTTGTATACAAAGGAAGTCGGTATAAAAGGGTGGATTCAAATTGGAAAAACTGCATCTCACACAAGCCACATGCAGTATTACTAGTTTTGTGGAGTTCTTCTATGTAACGCTCGACACTTCGTCTTATTACATGAGAGAACGAAGCATTTCCTTCCAGGAACTCGATTTTAAAAAGGACATAGAGGGTGAATCCATTGGAATACTCGACAGTACTCACACATTGACCTCTCACAGGTATTGTTGACATTGGGCAACGTAAATGTCTGCAAGTACCCTGCAATACATAATTATATCAGTATCATATTAAGATCTATTTAAATCGTCATCATCATAATCATCTCGTTTTTTCACCAACACCACCATTATTATCATCACTGTCGCAATAGTCATCACCTACATCAACACCATCATCGGTCATATAATATTCGTGATCATAATTATTTTCACGGGACCACAATCATCATCATCATCATTAATAATTAATAATAACAACAAAAAATATTGTTTGACCAGATAGCCACCAAAAGATTAATATGCTCATGTAAAGACAAACACTCTAAAATTATGTAGATCTAATCTATTAATCTGATTTACTTAAGCAGCTGAAACTTGCAAATTTACTTTTTCTTGTATGCTAGGCGATATAATATTATATTACTTAGTAAGACCACATTTTTTATTTTTATTTTTAAAAAGGTGTGCACTTTAACTAAGACGGGATAAGATCATTAAACTAGAAAATCAATGTTATGGTTCTCGCCCATGAGCAATGGTTTATAATTTATAACTAATCTTACTGTAAATTTATCTTGCACTTCCGTGTCTTCGCATGGACCATTTCTAACCCCTCCATTAGAAAACTCGCCAATCATAGCTGAAAATGTGACGTCATCTGATGACGACATGTCTTCAACCTGACACATCCAAGGGATTTCTATCTGATCTGGGTTATTGCAGAGGAAACAATAGACGTTTGAATACACTTCTCCAGTCATTGGATCTTTGAAAATAGTGTTCTGAGATACCCTTCTCTTTCTGCAAGCTTTTTCTAATTTCTTCATATCATAACCATTAAATTGATGTTCTGATTGCTGATAGGATGGACAAGTGCTTACATATACGTTATCATTTTTGTAGCACCGTGTCAGTTCAGCTATCTTACGATGTGGTGGCTCAATGTTAAGATGACATTTCCGAAGAATATAATTGTTCCTCTCTTTAAAGGAGTTAAACTCCGTTGTCATTATCTCGGGACATTCTGCATGGAGGTGCCACTTCGTCACGTTTGAAACACCGTTACATGCTGCACAATGACGATTGATAAAGTTTACCTCAAATTGGTTGTCGGAAACTACAATATAATCCTCTAGGTTTTTCGGATGTCTACAATGCGGATGACGTAATGAGGACTGGTCGTCTGGACAGGTTGAAATAATTTTATAGCTTTTTCTATATATATTTGTGGTATAAACGGGTATTTGTCGTTTTTCGTTCAGTATTGAATCCGTATCCGTGCATATAGATTTCGGCGGCGGTAATGGCATGTTGCCATACTTGTTGACGTTATGCGAGTCGTAACAGCAAGTGCCCGTTTCGTTGCACCAATGTGAACACGAGCACCTTTGGCAACATGGTACGTAATCTGACTCAAGCATCTGGAAATATACAAGACGAGATATATTTTCTAAAGGACATATCAGAAACGATTTAAAACGCTGAAATAACGTCTGCTCCATTTTACCACGTTTGGTGAAGAAGAACTTTGCTGCTGAGTGGTATTGATGCAGTCGTTACCAATGTGTTATGTTAAAGACTCATTGCGTTTAAAACTTAAACAAAAGTCAACACACTGCAGAAGCTTTGTCATTACTAAAATGTATGATATTTTCAATCTGCGTGGGGGCGAAAATGCGAAAATACGACAATCAACATTTTTGTCGTTCTTTCGCTGTAATAACAGTTCACACGTGTACATTGCAATTCTATCTTTAAAAATGTGTTGTGGCTGCTTTTTGTTGTTGTTGTTGGTGTTGTTTTTATATATAAATCCTTAATGCAGTGGATATGTCATAAGCGTTAATTAATAGTTGAAATATTTCAATGTTAAAGCAAAGGACGAGAAGTACAGATGCACCTCACTACGAAACGTTAGAATGTGTTCGCGATACATACTGATTGTTTTGAACATACAGTAGAAATCCCTCGTTAGAAATGAAAACGTCAATATTATATGAGCTGTGTCACGCCAAAAGCAACATAATGGGTTTGCGACCAGCATGGATCAAGACCAGCCTGCGCATCTGCGCAGTCTGATCAGGATCCCATGCTGTTCGCTATCAGTTTCTCTACTTAAAATAGAGTTGGTAAGCGAACAGCATGGATCCTGATCAGACTGCACGGATGCGCAGGCTGGTCTGGATCTATGCTGGTCGCAAACGCACTATGTTGGTTTTGTCGTGACGCGGCTCATATGAAAATTTCAGACTCTGTTTGTTGGGCTTTACGTCGCACCAACACAGTACAGGTCACATGGCGAATTTCCAGCTTTACTGGTAAAGGAAGACCTCAGGTGCCTTTCTTAGCTTAATTACAGAATTTCAGATACGAACGGGCACATGAGTAGAACCACCGACGTTCCGTAAGCTAACTGCATGGATAGCTTTCTCACATGAAAGATTGCGAAGACGCTTGCGTGGCTCGAACCTTCAGTGGTGAGAGGAAAGTGGTTCGAATTCAACGGCCTTAAACACTGGGCCACGGACACCCTACTTAATTTAATTTGGTCTGATTATGAGAGGTGTTTAAAAGTGCATCTTTTTTTACACCCTTAAGCACAAAGCAAGAATGTGTAGCTTGCTATAGTCCGTGTAGCTGTGACCTACAATTTTTCTATGAAAATGAAAATTATTTAATTGTCAACCTGAAATGTTAAATAATATTTTCTCATCCTCGGTAACGGCACAATTTTTCACTGCGATGAGGAATTATGTGCTAGATATGCTAATAACGTTCAACAACATTTCTTGTTTACAACTTAAGTACAAAGCAGAGGTCGCTCAATGGTTCCATAAAAATGGAAATGTAATACAATTCTATTAGGTCGCATTTTAGTACCTATCATAAGCATCAGCTGTATCAAATGCAATATACATTGAAACACGTGATCGCACACCCATATGACAACATGTTCCAGTTTTGCCTTAGCGTGCTTCTTAAATTGTTCCCGTGAGTTTGAAATTGGAGTGATTACCATTTTTGATACAAAATTCAATATTCCAGTGTACCTCTCCTGGACCCTGTATTAATCAGGAATGACCTTTTTTTTTAAAAAAAAAAGAGAAAGAATTACCATTTTTGAAAAGGTCTCTTGCTATCGGAAGAGAGTTATGCGCAAATTGGATGCCTACCTTTGTTACTTGTAATTAGCAATAATTTCCGTCAATTCCGTTATTACTTATGTCTTTTACGTGCCGATTTTATTGTATTCATTTTCTTAATAATCGGTGAGAACATATGAGCTTTATTATTTGAAACTGAACATTTAATTTTTTTAAATCATATTATAAATGGTTAAGCTACAATATATTTTTGCAAGTAGGTTATGCGTTCAGTTTAGTCATTTTATGTTCAGCGCCGCGGAACTTTGCCGCTGATTTTGTCTTATTGCATTTCTTTATCGCCGATAAGGAAAGGTCTACGGAATGTATTTTCTATATTTGCACTTAAATATCATTTTTCTCCATTAAAAAACTTCAAAAAAAAAAATTTCAAAATGATCTTTCAACAGTATTGAAGAAGTTTTCACAATATTGAACAGAAAATTTATGTCAGATTATCGCATCGAATTTTCAACAGGCTAGAGACATGGCATCTTAACATACATTCATACTTAAGTGTGACTTTTATTTGATAATGAATTGCCTGAAAACTTACAGAAAATGACTTCACAGAGGATTACCCCCTGTTTACATTGAAAATTTCTCTGCTAGTCATACCGAAACAAGAAATGTAAATGTTATTCTCTTTATAATTAATTAAAATATTTATAATCTTAAAACCTAATGCCAGAAGTTAATAAAAAGCTGCTTAGATGTATGTACAGCTGACGTTAACAAATTTTGTTGAAAAAACAAATCAGACAGGTGTGTCCGACCGAGGCCGAGCTGTTTATGTTTACCGAATCCAAATCACTTGAACTGAACTGCTATGAAATAATGCACAAAGGCGCACCTGAGGTTCTCGCCCCTAGTAAAGCTAGGGTCGTATCCACACACATTTTCATAAAAATTCTGCTCCGCTTCGAGTTGCAAGTTCGCTATAACTTTTGTTTTACAAAATAGTTGTGCAAGCAACATATACCGAACGAAGCGGAAAATAGTGTAGCGTGTTAATACATATATCTGGTTTTCAGTCATTTCCAACAAAAAGAGTTATAAACAAAAACATACATTTTTCGTTCCAAGATGGCGGCGTTTGTTTACATTTTGTGGGATACGACGCAGTTTTGATTCCCAGCACTGGTTATTGTTAACATATTTTGCGTTACTTTTGTTGTCATTTTGTCTTCTATTAGTCCAAATTATATCTTCCCTTGCGTTATTATTGTAGAAATATAAGCTATCTTTGAACTGTTAGTTCCATTATCAATAGTTCGCTGCGAATACCGGTTATCTCGCAGTATACCTATAACAAACATCGATTATCTTTTCAATCATTTATCTCGCCTTGTAACTACTATAATAAGATTTGTTTTAAATGTCGATTAATAAGATTTGTTTTAAATGTCGATACCTCTCAATTCTTTTGTATCGCCGTACAATAAACACTGGTTACTATAAAGAAGCTTCGTTTTAAACATCGGAAACTCTCTATTTCAACTATATCATATATTCTAACACTATCGGAAATGTTTCTATATAAACAAAGAAGGCCCGAAGCGTGCATTATTCTGCAACAATGCACTCGCCGTTCTTATTATCTCCCTGTGTATTTTCACTTTGAGGGCGCCATTTTGTTTGAAAAATCTGATAAGTAAAACAATTTTTTGTCGAATTTTGTTGTGAAAACTATCTAGAATGATAGAAAATGGTCTAACTAAGAAAATAAATCCGAACACCAATATCATTAATTCAGTCGTTAACGCTGTACAGACGTTTAAAGTGTTGTTTACGTGACGTCACAATGTAGCGCCAAACAGCACGTGCAAAACAATCAAAATCAAGTACGCTATTTTAACGTCGCAGACGAGTTAAGTTTTACATTTATTTCACTTTTAATAATTTGTATTTCGCTTGGAAAATTATAGACTGAAATAAAATAAACAAACAAAGTTTTATCAACGTTTTCAAAATTCGTTATTCTCAAAATGTTTCTACACATGGTAGATTTAACGACAGTTTTTTTCAACCCACTGGAACGGCCTTTAAAGAACGTTTCTATTGGAAACTCTGAGGCGAAAACAAATTTAACCGCCAAACATAAAGTCCAACTTTATAATAATAATTATACTTTTTCTTGACGTGTTAGAATGGAAATAGATATAAATTCTTCGTGCATTATTGTATAATAATGCACGTTTTTCGTTTAAATGCTTTGTAATTAATCACTCAGGCCTATCGGCCTTCGTGATTATATTACTACGCATTTGAACTCAAATCGTGCATTATTCTACAACAATGCACTCAGAATTGATATCTATTTCCTAAGTATACACTGGTTACTACTAAAACATAAATTTGTTTTATTTTATTGTTTATCTTTTATTTATCTTTGGTTATTGTTTTATCACGCCCTATGATAGTATACTGGTTGCTACAAAATAAATCTGTCATTTTGATCCATAGATATACAATGTATTTTCTAAAAGAGGGTGTGTGAAAGGTTTTAAGTGGGAGCAACTCTCTTCAAAGCTATTGCATATCATTACAGGCTGAAAGAAATTTGTGTGTGTATGTAAAGGCAAGAAGAAAACATCACTAGCCGTTTAAGGTTGTATGCCAATCCACTACTGCGTCTGTTTAGTGCTTTGCATAAATAGCAAAATTAAAATATTGATAAACATTATCTTGTCCAATACAATTCACTTTATCATTAACACAAGAGTGTTAAAGTGGCATGCCTTCAGGTACATGTTTATTTTCATGAGAATTTAAAAGTGTATTTAAGAAGTTAAATGTTTTTACACATTGCAAACGGCACTAACAATCCACCCAAATAACCAAGAAAAAATAGAGGTAGAAATATGCTAAAATCGCCCTCACACAGTAGAAATGCAGCGATATATACTGCAAAATCAGTTAATCGCACAAAACATGCGAACTATCACTTGGATATTTTTAAGTTTGATTTTCTTGAAATATCTTGACTCATTTGGTGGCACGCAACTTTAGCAGTACAGCATTCAACAATTTATATCATCATAATGAATAGCAAATAAGAACAGTTTTAATAAAACAAAAACTAAATAAGAAAAGCGGGGAAAAAGAGAAATTCGTTTTCAAGGTTATATTGAATTGACTATTCTGATTAAGTTAAGGAGAACGATCCAACGTTATTATTTGTACATTTTTTAAAATACAAGCACCTGTTTCAACTAACCATATGGTTGTCTCACAAGATAAATTTAAAATGCATACTCACAAATTCAGTCTTGGAGTTACAGAAGTCATTAAACGGGCAGAAGGAATTTAGCTCTGGTAGATCCCGATTAGGTGATATTACAGCAAATAAACATATAAGTATTGCAAAGTACAATTTTGCATTCATTTTCAACTATAAAGGAACTTTTGACATCGAAGCATTTCGCAAATCCCTTTTATAGACAGAATATATCAGGGATTATATGGAACGCCGTATGCGTCATAACTATTCCAATTGTAATATATATGCATACTTCAGAAGTAATGCGCGGTCGTCAGCATATTGTAACATCTGTTGTGTGTATAGGTATAGTCTGTTTCTTTAATTACATCCGGATAAATGACACACATATGTACCATCACGGGTGGATACACGTAGATTCTCTCGAAAAGTCCAACCTTATACAGGAATACTTTAAAATGACCATAAGGCGTTTTGCACACATATAGCTAGCGATAAGCTCGCTATTAAATATTTCTTGTTCACGTGAATAAGGCTAGTCTGGCCGAATTCTGATATGAAAGGAGTAAGGTCCTTCAACATGACACAATGAAGAAATGAAAAAGAAAAAAAGAAAAAGATTTTACTAAGTATATGATTCAATAATGAATGAGAAGAGTGAGACGACAGGGTAATGGAATACAGATAGAAGATGAATATTCCAACACAAACAGGATGTTCCTTTCATCAGGTTCTTTCAAACACAAAGTTTTAATCTTCTGCTCCGATGCACAAGCAGTTTTTACCTTATCAATGTCCACTATACAAAAAGTGATATAAAAAGCTGTTTTACCGAAGTATAAAGTGCAGAATTCAGCACAACTTGTTGGTTACCAAACGCAGTTTGACGGAAAGGGCCGAAAAGTTACGATTTCGTAAAACTCTGACGGAAAAGCAAATAACAGTTAAAGTTAGTTTGTCATCTTTATCTAGCTATAAACATGTATATTTTCTAACCTGGAAGGACTCTATAAATAATTTTAGCTAAATAAATATCATGGTTGTTAAAAAAGGTAAGTTAATAAATTATGTTGGTGTTGTAGTAAATAGCGATGAAGATTACGCAGGTGACGACGACGATGATGATGATGACGATGATAAAGATGACGAGTATGACAATGTTGATGACAATGATCACATTGTTGATGACGATGATCACATTGTTGTTGTTGCTGTTGTTGTTGACGATAACCATCTTTAATTTCCAATTTCATCAACTGTATGATATTGTCCTATTAGCAGTATTAAATTTTGATGATATAGGTTTTCCATAGTTATTTAAAGTCTATGGTGATGTGCTTTTTGTATATACCTGACGATTTCACAGCTTCACAACTTTTACCAAACTGACGCATATTAAATCTTTAACTCGTGAAAGTACAACTCGATGTTCTTTTACCGTATTTTTAACCTTTCATAACCCTACATATGTATTTCTTGACATCTATTAAAGCGAGGTGTCAAAGCTTGGAGAAAACGACAGAAAATGCGAAAAAGCGACAACAGTAGTTTTGACACAACTTCAGTTTTATATTCAATTATCATAGTTTATTTCTTCGTTAAATGCGATACATTTTTTTTCCTAAAAATATAACGCTTCTTGCAATATTTTGTACACGAATATTAATCAAATTGCTATAAAACCTTTTACAGATGGTCACGGAATAGGTGCGCGTATTCTCACATCCATTTCAGGCGTGATCATACGGAACATAAAGGAAGTGCTGTCGCGCTAACAATACAAAGCGACAGGCTAGCGATAAAATTAGCACTAAGATGGACGCTGCTCCAGGTGCTTGAAACCGGTACAAATCAACATAATAACAAAACGTGTCACGAATGTTACAAGTTATTATATATATCATCGCATCATTTTTCACACATTCAACTTTCCACTTCGGCTGAGGATTATGGGTAATCGACGAGACGTTCCTAATATCTGTTTCGTGTACATTTCATTATAGATAATGCCTTAAATACAAACATACCATGATCGACAGAACGCGTTAAATAACTATGCCAGTAATACTGGTATTACACTTTTTAATGATAGCCATTTATGGAAGGCATTAAGTGTTGTCTTTTACTATTACATATATACCCAACCCGCGCCCAGCCCCAAAACAAAACATCTCGGCACATTTTGTTTTGTTTCGGGGCTGGGCACGGGTTGGGTATATATGTAAGGGTAAAAGACGACACTTAATGCCTATAACTATATAATAAAAACGTTGTATGTACAAAGCAATCAATTTTCCCTACAAAATCACTTTTAGGTTTAAGTGTTCCATAGAAATACATATTACTTTTGTGCGCGTTTCCAGAGAAAACATCTAAATAACCGATATATTTTTGTCAAAAGCGCACAAAGCATTTCTACCCAGAATATCAGTAGGGTATAAATCTATATCTTATGAAATATTTTAATAAAATTTATCAACAGTAAAATCATATTGGTTCCATTATTATATGGTTGGTTCCAGAAAAAGTTGTAACATAAAATGTCTCTGTTATTTGAATAATGTATTTGAATAGATTGTTCCGGAACAAAATATTATTTTGTAATTTTAAGTAGGGTTTTATCCATTTAGCAATGATTTTGTGTATGCGCCATTCGCTTTTAAGGCAATAAATTACCATATTTATTTCAGTCAAGCATTTTAGATGTATACAACAAAAATTTTTGCTTCAGATATTTTAATCCTCTCGATAGTATCACTATGAGAGGTGCAGTGATGATTAAGGTGTCCAAGGAAATGGTTATTCGAGCAAGAACAATCAATATCAATTTTTTTCAAAATTCGAAATGTGCAATTTTCCACCCTTTATGTCATTTTCAGACAAATAATAGTGTGCTTAACGCTAATGTCGGCAAACCACGGGCACGTTACACTAATGACGCTACTTAAAACAGTAGTTCTATTGAAAATCGTATTTATTCGGTATTACATCGTATTTACTCAGTGTATTACTGTATTCAAAATTAGGCAAAATACAATATGAATGGAACACGAGCAAAAATGAGGCATATATTTTTTATCCAACTATGCCTGGGATTTGGCTGGATTCTTCACAGCAATAGAACACTACGTCATTCAACGACGTGTCGTCACCAGAGTTCTGTACACTTTCTATTTTCGTAGTAAGTCCACATATAGCAGTCCCGTTTGCACAGCTTTCGCTCCATTCACCGTAAGTTCCCCAGTGTCCCGTTCCCGGGGGCCGGTAGAGAACGGTCTCATTCCTTTCGCCTGCGAGGTCACGACAGTAGAACTTTACGAAGTTGGCGGAAGTATCATCACCACCTCCTTGCTGGAATGACAATTTCTTCTATGTTTGTATTATTTTCTGACAAAGTTTACATATTATTTGATTGTTTTTGATAAAAACATGGCATACCTTGACATTAATTATAATTCTATAAACCACATTGAAGATTATTTGAAACACTTTCAGTCCGCTTCCCGGAATTATCTAAAAAAAAAAACTGGTGTCATTATGAAAAAAAAAATTCTTTGAGAGGACCCGAGTAGGGCTCGAACCCGTGATCTCTAAGCTGAGAACCAGACTCCTTTTTCACTAATAAATGTTCCGCTGCAATACATATCTGACATATCATAGTACCTTTAAGCATAAGATAGTGTACTTTGATCATGCTGGCCTTTTCGTTTATTTTCTACGTTATTTAAGCTTACTCAAAGTATCGGCTCTGTAAAACCTGCAACCAGTCTTGCGTTTCTATTTATAACATTTGAACATGTCTTATATGGAAAATATATGGGTAATTCTTGAATGTTCATAATTGTTTTTTTTCTTGTTTCTTTTTTCTTCTTTTGTTTTCGTATTACTGTTATCGTTTTGTAATCTTGTCATTGATAAGCTAGATTCGTAGTAGAAAAAAAAACCCGATAAGAGTAATGATTGTCCTCAAATGTGTATTTACATATAGCGAATCTTGCGTTAAAGCCAGCTACAGGCAAGCTACGTGTGTGTTATTTATTGAAACAATTCCTGTTCATATAATGATCACCGTCAAAATGGGGTCGACTAACTTAGAGATGTATTACATACAGACTTTATTTTTGGGTGCGGTTATTCTTATTTGACGGCATTTTGAAATAATTCCGTTTTAAAACAATCTGTTATTTCCCAGGCCATTTTGAGATAAGAAACAATCTAGCGTCATTATATTCTGCACGTTATGCAAACTCACTTATATCAACAACTAGGCTTTTGACGCCAATTGATATAAATATGGTATGTTTCAAAGGCGTATGGAAGCTTTGCTTCTCATAACTGACACTTACCGGCTTTTCTACCTGAAGGGTAAACGCCGTCAGAAAATTTGCCGAATGATATGGCTGGTTGCATGTTTCCGTTTTACCCCAGTCCCCAAAAGAACCTTGACCGGAAGTGATGCCATTTCCTGTCGGGTGTCCACTTTTGTCTGTGCATATCAACTTGATAGCATTAAGAGCTGTGTCGTCGCCAGCGAATTGGTTATCTTCAATCTGGGAGTAAAAGTTAAAGGCACATTAAGCATGCCTCAGAAATCAATATATTTTTTTTTAATTCATTAGAAAAGTCAAATATATTTTAGTGATGTTTTAACAATATATAATTATAAAGTATTAAGATGTTAAACAAGTGGAAGTAGCGCTGAACATGTAGTAATGTGTCGAAAAGGTAGCAAAATTTAAACAAAGTAGTATTTTACTTCCATACACTATTATTATTCCTATTGCCAAAGAGAAAAGGAGCAAAAGATTAAAAGTGTATCTATATGACCAAAGAGTAACGTTTTGGAAACTGTAACAGGATAAGTAAAAACGTAATTGTGAACAATTTAAATGATATCATTTCTGAGACTTAATGGGCCTTTAAGATGCTGGTCATTATCGCTAAGTTAGTAACATTAGTTTCACTTCCAGTTGATCTGTTAAACTTGTATAGCTCAAAGAATCAATGAAATGTTGGCATATGATTCATACCAATCCTATTCCTGGATAACACATAATATTTTGACTTATACCTTTAGTCCATAGCTAGATAGAATAATCAATTAACTCGATTGATAAATAGATGAATTCAAATGCTAAATCCCCATGTTTGTTGTGTTTATTTGCGGATATTTAGTGAAATTTAAGGTTTAATCATGTCAAGAACGTTCTCTATAAATTTTCAAAATTAATTAACGTATTGTCTTGTTTTAATCACGAGTTCGTACTAATCCTAATCACACCTATCCTATACTAAAACAACTATGCTAAGAGGGTAAATAATTTCGAAAGGTAAACGTCTTAGTTTAAAATTTAGTGAGTTGTGAATTTATTATGAACGTTAGATTCTACACTACACAAGTCCTGTCATAATCAAATGGACCTTGTCAACGTTTACCGAACCTAAAATCAAGGGAAGAACCATATGTTGTAAACAAGACCCGTCTCATTTCGATGCGAGACATTTTTTGCTACAACACTTTACCTATCAATGATTAACATTTTACCTGTATAATTTAAGTTAACTTTCCTTACATATTAACAACGTAAAGCTTATGCATGTCCGAAGAATATCACGTAATAATTAGGGGTTTTTGAATATATCTGCCTTACCTTCATATTGTAACCAGAGGCAAATGATCCCCTGGGGCAGAATTCCGGGTCCGTCCAATAGCCATAATTCCCTCCGTTACCCACTGTCAGCTCTTTGACCACTGTCCGATTTGTGGTCACTCCGCTGATCTGATCCCCATGCGATACTGCCACGAGAGCAAAAAACAGAGCTAGAATCAAACCCATTTTCTATAGTGGATTATTCACAAGTCTTTGTAAGTGAATCGGTTATTTAGTTCGCTTTGTCTTATCGTAAACATCAAGAACCAAAAGAGCAACTAGGTTATCAGTAATGCCGCAGATTGTTATGATATCTACAAATATACATTCGGCAAACTTCGTTACTTTTCGTATAGTTATTAAGTTATTAAGGAAGTTTCTAGCATTTTCGTTTTGCTGCTCCGAGCCATTCGGAACCCGCAGTGTTCTAATTTCGTTGCAGATTTGCTCATTCCTGATTGCAAGATGCCAATTGAAGTAAACAAACGAGGACAAAAATCAACAAAGTAAAGAGACGGTCCCAAATGGCACTCCATAGTTAGATAAAAACAAGTAACACCGACAAGGTATCTCACAGGGCTCCTTACAAAAAATGGAGAAGACACAATGGCGGAGTAAGAAGGGGTGAGATACGTCACTTACAGCTACAATTAACACTGTAATTGGATAAATAAAAATGGTTGATACGGGAAATGGTTTCTTCCACTCGGTCCGTCAGATGCAGTAAGAAGAGGAAATTGTAGAGTCCATCTAACTAAGCAAAGAGTTGGGTCGTTTTCATTAACTGAAAGTAAGTTTGTAAAATTTGGCATTATGTTTTCGTTGATGTAAGATATCATTAACTTTTTGTTCAGTTTAGAGTTTTGAGATCTGGAAACAAAGTGATCCCTCGGAAGCATTAATTTCAATAAAATTATTTGAAAATTGCAGACTCGGTTTGATTGAGTCTGTACATACAGGATAATGAATAAGTGCAACATCCCTCACGCCCCCTAGCACCGGCTTGAACGGTTATCAATTCTCAACACTTAATAGTGCTGGCATCAATGATCCCGAAGGACCAGAACAAGGACAAGATCATGAAAAATAAAACAACACTGAAGTGAAGTACGGGGCAACTTCTTACAGCTGCCACACGGTACTTGACACCTGCTGTTGTGAACTATAGGAATCTGGAAACAAAGTGATCCCTCGGAGGCATTAATCACAACAAAATTATATGAAAATTGTAGACTGGGTTTGATTCAGTTAAACAATTTAAAACATTGCTTTTCAAATTGGCAGCATTTTATATAAAAGTCACTAAAACTGGGCTGTGACTGAAACAGGGAATCCGGCGATAGAAAATCTGCTTTTACCAAAAGTATAACAATTTCCTCACAAAATGTTTCACAGCATGCGAGAAGACATATTCTCAAAATTGTGTTGCTTAAAGTCATGAAGTTACCTTGTGTACATTAAATCAAAATCTTCTTTCTGAATTATTTACTCAAAAGGAATATGTAATTCCAGAGAGCTTGTAAATTCATATTTACCGAAGGTTATTTCACACAGAAAATATTTATAATTTCGCAAAGACAATTAACTCATAGAATATCAAAGTAAAATTTCAACATATCATCATTTCATGTCAGCATGCTTCTTTTATTTATTACCGTTGGTTTCAATTGAATGTTTAAGCAAATAAATGCCGTTTGTAAATATTTAAAAAAAATCAATGTAACAAAGCATTCAAGGTATTTTCTATTATAATATGACAACACAGATTGTAAAATACAGACTCATTTCTTCTTATATCTGATATACTATGCTCATTAAAGATCCTGTTAGTCAAATGTTTTTATAGTTTTTAGATTATAAATCAGATGCTAAAATGAATATTTATCAATATTGTTAGTTCAAAAAAGCATTATTTGCAAAGATATGACCGAATTTACATTTATAGTAAATAAAGGGAGGTAATTAGAAATTTGTTTTCGATATAGTCAAAGTCATTTTTAAAAATAATTATATGTTAATGATTACTTATACTGCTCATAAACATTTGCAGTATATATTTAACATTTTCTATGATGTTTGGAAATTGTTTTAGAAAAATAATTATTTACATGTAGGTGTTGTTACATACTTAATTAAAACATACAGGATCTTTAAAATGTCTGAAAGATATGATACTTTTAGAAGTGAAATATTGTCAAGCTAACAATGGGGTTATCTAGCAAGTAAATGGAACCGTTGACAGGAGACTTAGTTCTTTGCAATTCAATACATATTGCGTCAAAAGTAGAAAAGGTTACTTAGTTAACATATGTATTGATTCTAATGAAAGAACAATATGAAACTATTTCAAAGAAAAGGGACTTAATCAAACACTTTCAAAAATATTCCTCTTTGTCCCCACAATGTCGGATTGTTAAGAAAAAGAAAACATCTCTAAAATCTGTTCTAAGTAAGCTCAATGCATGACCCCAAATTAAATAACACATTTCTGTATATTGATAGTCTGACAAACCACAAAACGACAATATTTTTTCAAACCACAAAACGACAATTACTTTTCATTTTTGCGTATATATTTAAAAAGTACTAGATAAAGTGATAACGTTACACAGTAATCTTAATTTAGAAGAAGTAAACATAAAAAAGATGTAAAATTATTTTACTCTGCCCTTATGGAATTTCATAAGGAAACATTCCATTTCGGACATTAAACCCATAATGAAGAAATAATAATTATACTTAATTTTAACGTTTATTGAGTATGCCTCCGGAAACTAGCCGGTGACAAATGTATGTCAAACAAATATTTACATGAAGAAACATAACTTTGATTCCAGTTTGCTCGAACCTACCATCCTAGGTGAGTTTGAATGGCACACACAATAACCAATTAGGGCAGCCTCTATACTCTTTCTAAGTAGATAACCTTCCAACTTGATTGCAACATTTTTCAGAATTTTTACTGATGTTTTAATAATCATTTATATAAAACCAGGTCTGCTGCAATATACTTGAAAATGATTCAATTTCATTAGCTGAAAAAATTACAGATGTCTTCGTTATGTAACCGTTTTTTGAAAAATAAAATCTGACGATAAGAAATGCACTGAAATTACTGAATAGAATTTGTTTCTGTAAAAGCATTACATATATTTTCACAATAAACGGAACTATCGAATAATAATTGAAAATACGAGGAAAGATACGATGTTCAATATTATATATATCAAATGTTTTAAATTGTTGATACATTTATAACAATGTTTCAAAAGTTAATTTTTGTACATAGTATTCACTCTGTTTATAACATACGTCATTTCTACAGCAGCATTTTTCTAAACATTAGTGTTTCAACATAGTTTTTACCCTGCAGAGACGACGATTCTCATGATATATGGGATTTTAATAATGTTAAGAAACATAACACACCGGGATAGAAATGGTTAAGCAAACGAATAAATGATATTCTTTTTACTGTTAATTTTTGTTTGGACGAAAATTTCAATTACAACGGGTAATACGTTAATGTGAAACAAACTGTTAATAAATGTTCGTCTAAAAGCATTTTATTATAAGTATAATTTAAATCAGCTTTATCCACAATAATTAAAGATTTTACCTACAATTTTAGTGAGGTCTTTAAAATATCATTACTAGTATATAAAACAATATGATGCTGAGAAAATGACATTTGTTATTTTGTTCTAAATGCCTCTTGCTACAAATGCAACGGGATAGGGAAAGAAAATATATGTCTGTTACTATGTTTGCTTGCTTGTCTTTTAAAATCTGTACTTTCGTGAACGGGGAACCACTTAAATAAATTGTTTTCAACTATTCATTTGTGATAATGACTGTGTATTTTCCTCAATATCTGAACAATCTGTACACAATCTCAATGTATTTTACCTACTTTTATCTTGCAAACAAAATATCAGCGCCTAAAAACACGAAAACGTTTGCTTATGTGGAATCCTATTGTTTCAATGAATAAAACGTTTTACATTTTATTTATTATACATTTCTATTCATTTTTCTAAAAAAATATTCTTTTTGTATCTGATAATATCATAATAACGCGTCGCAGCATTGACATGTATTGTAAAATTTCACACACTTCCTATAAAGCCAGTCTTTTTTCACGCAAACAAGTGTGTTTTTACACACTTCAATTTAAATCTGAGAGTTAAAGTAATCTGAAAAATGTTACTTTTAAAAAATTAAGTAAATTGACATGCAACCCATTGAATAAAACGAATGGGATTATTTGAAAGCGTGCATGTTATAATTTTTTTTAATTCTTCACTTGACTGATTCGTCAACTTTGGCATTTTCGTGTCATGACTGCTTCTAAATCGTTTTAGTTTTTAAAGTTGTATTCCTTTAGAGGGGCCATTTTTTAAGAAAATCGAACTTGAGAGAAATGTACTTCAAGAAATGTAAACAAAATTATTCAAAATGACCACGTGCCTTTATTGACCTCGTGCCGATATTGCACTTTTTAATATGCTTGACTCAGAGCGCAATTGTAAGAACAGGTTAATGCAATGATGGCACCAGAAGGTTTATTATGAAATCATACAGTCAAATAATACCTCATTGGCTAGTTGAAAGCATGGTGCAAGAAATGGTTTCTTTATACGAAATACCGTGGAATTACCGATAATGAAAGGTAAATTTCTGTGCAAGAATAGAGCCATTAATATTAAATCCCTCGCCATGCGGGTTCGGACTTAGTATGTGTTCTCGAGCTTCTGAAGATATCAATGTACGAAAAAGGCACATTAAGCCTCCACTATCCGAAGAATGAAAAACAATGTGTTGAACAATGGAACAATTCTCTTTTAGAACACCTTTTCACAGATAATTGAAAGTGTATGGTTTCCTTTAAATATTTTGCATAATATATATGTACTCCATCTTCAGCCATCGTAACTGTGTACAAAACAGTTAGTTTTTATCAAGTAAGTTATTCTCGACATCTCTCTTTTTATTTTGTATCATTTAATTCGAACAAAATTGAAAAGAAAACAAAATCTCTAGATATTCATTTTTGTGAAAGGGAAGCATTATACTATATCATAGTAGCAAAACTATCATTAACTTGCACGCAGAATATCATTAACAAATGCATGTATAACATAATGAAGAGATTTAGGCATAATATATTTTATGAAATGGCAAATCACAGACGTGACAAATGTGTTAATTTCTAAACTTTATACAACATATTATT